AGAAGATAATATGCAGACAAGCGAAGATACACAAGGCATTGGTCCTGTAAACGGAACTCGACCAACATCATGAGTTGCAAAAGGAAGTCGAGAATTTCAATCTCAAGCTCGAGCTCAGTAAGGGGAGAATGGAATTCAAAAAGCAAAACGAAAACTTCAACAGAGTTCTTTCCGAAAAAAATCAATACATTATGATATTGAATGTAAGTGCTCGCAGCCCCAGAAGTTACCGACGCTAACGGCATAAATCCGAAAGGAATCCATTGCTGCCTGTCAGGACTCATGGGCAAAGGAAGTGGCAAGTCTCACATCCAAAATGACGGAATTGACCAAGGAGCTGCAAACCCTGCGAGACGAGAGCGAGACGCGCGCAGAACAAGTCCGGATTGCTCAAGAGAGTGCATTTCGAAACATGGACACCGGCAAGTGGGCGCCTCTGGAGGATACTGCCATCCGCGCCGAGCTCAAAAAAATTGAAGCCGGGATAAGGCACTGGGCTAAAACGTACGCATTTGAGGATTGCTCGATAGTACAAAATTTGCCGTGTGATCGTATAGCTTGGATTGTAAACGAGTTGCGAGAAATCGGTCTTTCTGAACAAGATTTTGCCGCAATAGTCAACGGTTGGAAAAACAAAGCGCCTCTTCTTTTGATACAGGCCATCGTTTCGAAAAATCTGATTTACTCCAACTTCCATCGCCCTTTTCACTTTTTGCGTGGTGTCAGCCAGACCGGCACTGAGTACACGAATGGTGTCAGGAGTGAATCTCCCTTTGCCATAGATATGCAAAATTTGTATGACGACTTGCGACTTGGTAAGCAAGCCGTCAAACCGCAGATTCTGTTCAAGCTGACATCCCTTCAGTCGACGAGCGACAAGCCCATTTCTGGCGATCCGGGACGCTCCGACAGCTCAGTGCATCGGGACCTATAGCGGATGACGTTGTTGCTATGCGAGACGATGCCAGCAATCGCCTCGCGTGGAGAATTATCGACGGCCCGCTGTCTCTAATGCTCCGGGGAGTTGGCAAAGAAGAGTCGAGGAAAAGATATGAATCACTTGCTTCCCTTTTTTCAACCGCTATTAAAATCTCTGCTCGTCTTTGGACTCAACGAACGCATATGCGAGTAGGTCATGAAAATCGATTTAAAGTGGACTCGTCTATCACGGTTGCACACCGTCTCCAGAAACTGGACGAGGGCGACACCCGCCTCGACGGGAAAAACATTCTGGCCGTCATTCAGCCTGCGGTTGTTGCATATGGGACGAGTACAGGCGAGGATTATGAAAACCGGAGAGTCTGGCTGAAGTCGATCGTTCTAGTCGAGGAATAGACTTGCTGAGCGGCTGAATGCGATCAATGCCTTTTTGTTCAGTCTTGGGGTATAATCCTGGCTAGGGCGGGTCAAATAGCACGACGTATCCAAAGCAATTAGCTACATACCATTGTGCTCAGTTCAGTTCCATCCCTCAAAAGTGAATTCCTAGCCATCTGTTGTGTTGAGGTTGAGTGATGTTTCGGGCGCCGGAGAAACCGCGGCCGGAAGCACCCGTTGGTCCTTGGATAACTACTCCGCGCTTGATGGACTATCGTTTCCACCAGCCCCAGATAGCAGTTTTATTTTTATGTTTTGCAAGTAATATATAGGGATCAGATCCAATGCTTGAAGCAATTCGAGCGCCATGATGCTTAACCAGGAGCTAGAATTCCCCGAATGGGGTCGATTCACAACCCAGTTGGATGAACTTGTCATTTTAATATGGATTTAATTAGTTGGAAATCTGTTGAGGAAATGATGCAAAATTGTCAGATTGGAAAATAACGCTATTATGAAGCCATTTAAGGGCATCGGCACGCTTGAATGAACAATATTCGAGAATTCGCCAGAACGCAGACCCCAGATCAAATTATGCAGTTGAATATTATCAAACAAATCACTCCCAAAATCCAACCCAATTCCCAATGCATCCGTTTGTTATCCGGTTCGGCATCATTTTGGTATTTCCATCATCCCCATCTCCGCTTCAGTCAAGCCATTGCGCGGCATAGGCTTCGCCATTTTCGTCTTCTCACGCGTGTATCTCAGACGAATCCACGAAATCAAATTGACAAAAAAGAAGATTCCAATTGTCGCGGCAGCGATGGCAAACGAATATCCTGCAACAGATTTGCTGTCTTCACCATTGTTACCAGGATCGAGGAAGGAGTACGTGTAGTATCCCTGGGTTGCGTGGACGATATAGGCGAGAGCGAGGTAGAGGAGGAGGATAAGGAGGAGAAAGGGAAGATGTAGAACCGGCGAGTTCGGGGCAGTCGAGAAAATGATTTCGAAAAGGGAGAATAAAGGAGGCATGGCATGTTGGGAGACCTGGATGTTAAATTCCGGGTTAGTTGGTCCTACTCATGGAAAAGAGAGGACAGTGCGATACTAACGTTAGTCCATGCGTCGAACACCACCGGATACCAAGTTCCATCGTATAATAGAGCCCAGTACACAATCAGCACTATAAAGGGGAAATTGATGACCGTCGTACGGAACAGGCCGTGCATCGTGCGGAAACATCTCGGCAGTCCGTCAAAAAATACCGACCGACCTCTTGCAGCGTAGACGAAAGTATGCAATGAGGCGACAAGGAAGTAGAATGCGATTCCCCAATACGTCAAGTTCGTAAAATAGCTGAACGACTGTTTGTTGGAGATATTGTCGCCATGAGTGCCCCTCCAGCCAAAGATGAAGAAGATGGTGAAAAAAGTATAGAACGCGACGAGCCCTCGGAGGGCAGCGAATACGAAGGGGGTGAAGAGCCAGGACGTCTCGAAGAAGAAGAGGCTGTCGTTGCTGTGGTCCGCGCCCATAAGCGTATTGAATGAGCGGGCCATGTTGGCGTTGTAGCGGAGCTTTCTCTCGTCCAGAAGTCGACGGCCGTGTCTGCGCAGGAGGATAGATTCGATCAACGATATTTGTTCAGAGAGGAGAGAAATCAGGATGCGAATCTGGGGAAGATGGTCAAAGACCGTCGAGTCACCATGGGCATGACGCCAGGTTTTAATACCTGACTATGAAGAGGCATTCATTTTTGGCTCTGTTGACTCTTATCAACGGTTTTCAGCTGGCCCCTGGATTGTGGTCCCAGACCTTCCTTGGGACTGGGGTGAAGTCAAATGGAAACGTCGTGTAGCCTTTCATCGTGTGATAATTTCAACTCCCCTTCCATAGCTAGTTCTTAAGGCTGCTTAGCTCCTGAGAAGGTAAGATGCACGCCGAAAGCTTGCTATGGTTGGACGATGCACCAAGCCACGCCGACTAAGCAACTTTGCTCATTTTACGTAGACACCCCAGTCAACGGCGCAACGCTGCCTCTTCAACGACATCGATTTCCGTGGCTCTATCTGGCTGGCTAAAGTTAAGCCCCGGTTGCGGCCATCATGGATCGAAGTCTAATCTACAATGCGCCGTGAATTACATAGCTGCTGGGTTGGTTTGGATCAAATCCGTGGGTTGTCGAGCACCATTGATCCTTGAACATGCGGACAACCAAATCTGATAAATCAATGAAGGTTGCTCAGTTCCGGAAATCCTGTGAACCAGGTGCCGAGTCTCCATGCACTGACGCCTTCGAATTCCCTAATAAACGGCCCTTTGCGGGGTGAAACAAAGCTGAGATAAAGCCCACTATTTGAGAACGTTGAAAATCAACCGCTTTGCATGCGGTCATTTGAAGAGATGGATCCCCGGGATCTAATTGTTTTGATAACACCGGACTTCTACCACGTATCCGCATCACATTATCAATTAAACAAATGCCACTGTCAGAGGTTCTCCATAGCCTGTATTCACACCATGTACGCAGAACCGGTGGCTGACATGTTCTCTAGATGAGATTTATTTCAAAACATCCAAAATGTGAGCCACTAGGCAAAGGACTGTTTGGAACATATCAGGAGATATCCGCAGAAAAGCAACCTTTAGATTCACCAATTTTATATGTATCAATATTAACTGATTCCCGGGATAGCTTTCATCCTTGTTCAAGAGAAGAGGCGACTGCGCGGCTCATTGATCAAAAACAAGTGTTATATCGGCTATCATAGGGTATCATCATCCAGTTAGGGCAGGCAATTGGGGAAGTGGGCCTAATGGTCAGCAAGAACGAAACTTGTCGTGGTATGTCCTCATGGAGGCATCCTTGCAGGTGGACGGAAAGAATATAGGAGAGCTTTTCGGAGGCAGTTGGGAAGGAATTTCCAATGATTAACTAGAGCATTTGTTGAAATTTAATAATAAACTGACATCCACCAAAATGGAGATGCCGCGTGATCATTTTTGCCGCAGATTTGTGTTGATATACGCAGAGTATAACCCATTGCGAGTAGTGGGTTGGCCCACGACTTTGGAAGAGCTTTGAGCTTATGAGCACCGAGCTGCAGTTACCGAGTAAGCATCATGATGGCCATACGAAGTAGACACCTGGCGTTGTCTGGTCATCTGCGGTAGTTATGTGCTTCGGCCGGAGTTGTGTGACAGATCAGTCAGTATCCACGCCTGAGAAACATCTCCTGAAGATGAGTGTTAGGCAGGGGTTCCTAGCAAACATGGCAGAGAAAAATTTGCGAGGTCGAGACCATCTGAAGAACCACGGATTCAACTGGAGACCTGATTAACTCGGTTCCTGGACCAAAGAGCCAGAAAAATATCGTTTATTTGGTCCTCTAATGGAAGTGGACTCGAGGGTTGTTTTGGCGTTCAGCCGTCTGATCGCAAGCGGCGTTGGATCTTGTCGATTCACAGGTGAGACGGAAACGGATTCCCTTGATTTCGTGTTGGAATCTTGAGACTCTCGTGTCTGATATTCCCAGCCGTGTTTCTCTATTGCGAGGGAGCGGCAAACCACCACAGGGCTGTAACCCCTAATAATGGAGTGGGTGGGATGATGGAAGCGCCTTTTGGATTGACAAGCTTCTTTCTTTTTTCTTTCCTTTTCCCATTTATTAATTGGTGAAGAATGAAATGAGCGACACGCTTTGACTTGGCTTGGTTCTCACTAGTCTGGCCCCTGAGGATGCGCGGTGGAGACGACGAGGTGGGAGACGGCGAACGTCAAACATCCATCGCCATCACCGTGTTTAACTGTCAGACGTCCTCTCACTCCTCTCGTGTTGCGAGAAGACACCGTCCTTGCGGAGTTTCCCAGTCTGTATGACTCTTATAATCCATTCTTTTGCTGGCTCGTATCTAGAGTCGCCCTTTTCTTGTTGCCTGAGGCCTCTTCCATTCATTTGACTACTGCCTCACAGTCCTCGTTTCTCAAAAGACGTCACATCTTGACCATCACCGTACTATCGCTAGTCAGTTCCTCCTTAGCGCATCCTCGCATTCCTCCATAACTAGATGAGTGCAATGAAATTGGCTCCCACAGTCTAATCGAACGATTACAGCAGGCACAGACGTCCAGTTTCTTGGTTATATCCAATACATTTCCTATGGCCAGCAATGACCCTTCAGAATCACAAGCCAGCCCTGGCAGTATGAGTCCTGGCGACCGCTTGACTCCCCCGCGTGTTGAGCACTACGATGGAGAAGTCCCTCCGGCGCTTTCACCTCTGGATGCCTTTGCCGCTCAAGGTCGACTCCTAGCAAAGCAATTCGATCAGTCGAGGAAAGCTGGTCGGCGGATGAGTCGCATTCCACCAGCAAGCGTTGCCCGATCCCTGTCTCGACCGCGACCAGGCTACTTTCGATCGGCTTCTGACGAGAGACGGCGCGACAATGCGAAGGCGCCTGTGAATCCTGCCACTCGAGAGCATAACAATCCGTCAGTGGAGGAACCTAAAGTCAGGCCTCAGTCTCAGCACCCGCGGTTAAGTGGTGTGCCCACTAGCTATGAGGGAAGAGATCCGCGATCAGGCGAGAGAAATGCTGCTTACAGCCGTTCTAATTCGAAGGAGCACTTTGCTGAATTCCCAGACGAGTATAGTGAATTGGGCTCAAGCATGGATACCACTAGTCCAGGGCGTGAAAAAAAACCGCTGATTGGAATTGGAGTGACCGTATCAAAAAAGAAATCACTGAATGGTTCTCCGTCGAGGTCCAAGTCTAACACACTCGCGCCTCCAATTTACTTGCCGAGATCAGCCAGCAGTCCAGGTTTCTCACACCTAGAAAGCTCCGACGATGACTACTATCCCAGTTCCAATGCAGGCTCTACTTTTTCCAAGCCAAGGAAACTGTCGTCGAGTAGTGGTGTTTCTATGCCTCACTCGCCAATGTCCAACTTCACTCGCCCACATCCACGCTCGCCGTCACCAGCATCGGAAAGATCCACGCCTTACAATCTTCAGCGGCCTTCATTCAACTTCTCTAGGCCTTTAAGTAGATCTAGCACGAGCGTATCGCTTCCTTCACCATTGACTCCGGAAATGAAGCCTCCCATCGAACCACCACCTCGAAATAAGGCCCGAGAAAATCGACCTGCACCCATCAAGATTACAGAACCGTCTCCGTTAGCACCCGGATCCACCGATGAACCTCCCACTTCCGCTACCTATACATACGCAAAATATTCGCTTCCTCGTGGGAGAGAGCTTTCCAGAGACTCAATCGTTTTCTCTGGCTTACAAACCCCCCATTTCGAATGGCAAGAGCCTCTTTTTGAGTCTCCTCCAACAAGTGCTATTCGCGAGAATTTCGAGCGGACGCCATCTCCACCTCCAACAAGAGCACAGCCGCCTACGTCCTCACCAAAATCACAGAAGGCTTCCCCGGCAAAAAGTGTCCATCATATGGGCCAATCACTGCCAGCCCCAGTGCGACGCTCGTTTGATGATAAGACCCAAGAGGTGCTGACATTGAGAACACCCAGTATTGGCGCCAAACAAATGCCAAACTCCGCTGATCAAGACGACGCTAAATCTACCTCTGCACGTAGCACCAGCACCCTTCGTCCGCATACCAGTCAGAAGGAAAGCAAACCTAACGAAAGCGATGATGCTCCCACTGAGTTAACTGCAGATGACTATGTCGCCAAAGGGATCGCCTGCCATGAAAACGGATCGTTCAAGGAATCAACATATTATCTACGACTGGCAGCGTTGCAAAACCACCCAACTGGGATGCTTATGTACGCATTGGCTTGCAGGCATGGATGGGGTATGCGCCAGAACCAGCAAGAAGGCGTTGAATGGCTGCGAAAGGCGGTAAATTCAGTTGCAGATATTACCCAGGAGGTAGATGCCGCAAACTTGCAGCTCAAGGGAAAAGCTCTCCAAGAACAAAAAGCCCGCCAGGCGCAGTTTGCCCTTATTATCTACGAGCTTGGAGTCAGCCACCTCAACGGGTGGGGTGTCGATCAGGATAAGATTCTAGCACGACGGTGTTTTGAAATTGCAGGTCAATGGGGCGATGTCGACGCCCTGGCGGAAGCTGGATATTGTTTTGCGGAGGGTATTGGTTGCAAGAAAGATTTGAAGAAGGCAGCCAAATACTATCGAATGGCCGAAGCGAAGGGCATGAGCGGAGTTGGGATTAGCTGGTACGTCCCCCTATCTTGCCCCTTCTTTGAATCTGTTTTATTTACCAATGTGGCATTGATAGGATATACAAAGACAAATACATGAGCGACGACGAGAAGCCCGTACCTCGCAATGCGAGTGTGAAGTCGACAGCACCCTCAGAGAAGAAGCCGCTTCGGAACAAGTCCCGAACCAGATCAATCTTTGGTCGGAAAAAGTCGAGCGCTCACGATGGTTGATACATGATATCACATCGTCTGCTTTTCAGACATTTTCGCTTCCCTGCTACGGCGAGTATTGATTGGTTTTCAGACCTTAACTCTTCATTTTTGCTGGCAATTTTGATATCAGTTCTATTCATGCTTTCCGTTCACTTTGATTATCCCCCGTTCCTCTTCTTCTATGCTTCACCGACGTCTTTTACCTACCTCCACAGAGTGGAGGGTTTATTAATACTCACACCACCCTTTTATGAGCAGGAATCATACCTCCAGTCAGACACTCGTGCCAACATCTTCCCTTTGTTCCTTTGCGGATATGATAAGCTATGCTTTCCAATGTTCTATTTTCTTGACGCTTTCGATTCGTGATAAGCCGGGGCTGCTTTCCTCTTGATTTGAGACCTTCGATTCGTGCCTGGGCTGTTTTTATTATCTTTATATTGCGTTTGTTAATAAGCGTTTGGCGCATGCATTTGTCTGCACTGCCATGCGAAGTCTGTAAGATTATATAATTGAGCCTTTTCCTTATTTTTCTGGCCCTTTGGAATGGAAGAAGTATTCTAAATCTGTTCATGTGTCGGTCTTCGGTTCATCTCCGTTGTAGGATGGCCGGAGGAGACAGGGCGGTTTGATCGGCCAAATCTTCTGTCATCCACGTTCCCTTTGATTATGATGAAATTAAGGCGGATATCAAGCTCATGAAAGGGAACTTTTGGAGGGGAAGGATTTTTGGTGGGGTGAGGGCACGCTTCAATGTCCATCGTCGGCATTATTTCCTACATCTCACAACATGTGACAGCTGCCTTTCCCCGGACCTGGAGCTCTTTTTCCAAGACAACAAAGCCTTATTTTGTTCCCACGGGGAGAGTAGGAAATATGGGGTCTGGAGCAGGTTGTTTTATGAGGAGTATGCTCCACGTATATCAGAAAGTTTATCCGTGTTAAACCTGGGGAAAGGTTGAGGAGGGAGGTTTGGAGGATGGGATGGAACTTGAAATTGCCATATGGGAAGAGGATGATCATATTGCAGATCAAGGGGTTATGGACATGTTCATGTTCATCTTCTACTGGAATACATTTCAAGATGTCGAGTATCATCGGTGATCTCAGTCGTCTAGATTCTACAGAAGCCATGTGAAGATTATACGGTCGTTCAAATCAGCTTGGACAGAGTGCATGTGTATCTGCATATCTCCGACAGGGTCCTTCCTATTGTTTTGCCTGTTCCCAAATCGTCCCCTTCGTTGTGCCTCCGCCATCCAATCGCGGCATCGAAACGGAGGGTTCGCCATTCAGCTGGTGGCGACACAAGCAGTTCGCTCCCGTTCCCACCACCAACAGAAGTAGAACATGAGGAGATGGTGAAACGGAGGGCGCTGGCTGTTCCGAAAATAAATCATATTGGCGATGGTCGAAAGACGTTGGAAATCGGGTATGCTATTTCTGAATCAGCAGCACGGGCAGGGTGAGACTAGCTCGACGAACTTGCGGAGAAGGGGCAGCGAGCTAAGAGTTGACTATCGTGGCCGGCTCCATCGTATGCATGGCATCATGTGTCTTCAGAGTCCCGTCTCGCAATCTGGTCTTGGGGGGGCAAACGCCGACTGTGCTCTCGATACTCTTTTTTTCGAGTCATGAAGGGAAACGAGGAGTGGCGACCTTTATGCAGTAAATATTTTATTTCGCGTTCCAGGCTCGCATCACGGCCTCAACCACGGAAATGCCTTGAGGGAACTCAAAAGTCAATTAATATTAAGAAACCAAGCAGTCTTGCTCCCCTGCAATTCCATTACGACCTGTCTTGTGCTGTCTGGTGGCTTTTGGCTAAGCGTCTGTCTGGGCGCCGCTCGTCGATCTCGGCTGAAAGTCAACCAAATGGCAAATGACATGTGCTGGCTGAACTGACTGCTCTCTGTGACTTGTAGCGATAATCATGTTCGACGTCGCTTTCCCAGTGTCTTTGCTGTGCGACCTCAAATCGCGAACTAATCAGACACGATGGCGAGAAAAAGTCACGCTTTGATGGACTGTCTCTCCACAACTGTTGCTCCAGAATACCCTGCAAAGTTTTCTTCCCTCCCTTTAGCCTTTCTGCGTCTCCCCCACAGCTGGATCCCCGGCGAACAAGATCCAAACTCCCTGGTCGACATTGCAGAGCACGCCAGCCAATGGACGCCCGCGCGCACTCGAGCCCTTGGACCGCGGATAAGTGGCCAGCAACATGTGATGGCCAACTTCTTGCTGAAGGAAGCTTACCCCCGTACCGTCGATCCAGAACCAACAGAAACCCTGGAGAAAAGTACGGAGTGCATACCAGCAAATCATTTTATTGTTATTTATTCGTAGCCGGCTGAATTGCAGCGCGGTTGAGAGCTGGGTGGGGGAAGAAAAGGAGCAAGAAACGGGCGGACCCATGGTAGCAGGCAGAGCTGCTCCTGGACCCAGATGGATATTTAATATTGGGGAGAATTATCAGGCGGGGAGGAATTAAATACAAGATGGGGACGGCTTCGTTTTTTTCTTTCCTGGAGATGGATCTCGCCTCCCAGCAAAAAAGGTACATCAATATTACCAACGCATAAGATTAATTAAATACACCAGTCCGCCCTCCCCTCCATCCTCGACTCTTCTCTCCCTTTCTCCGCCTGCTTTGCGACTCGTTTCTCTTCCATCGCTCTCTTATATCCAAAGGGGGTTTGCAAGCTTAGTCTGTGGGACTTTTCTTGTGCAAAACGTGCTTGGATACCTTCGCGCTTGAGTGGACTGAAGGTATGGTTTCTCTTCCTCCCTGGGATGTTGCAGGGTATACCCCCATGCATTTGTCAACTCGGAATCATCCGCCATTGAAACACGTTTCAGGGGACACTGGTCTTCTAAATACATGGGCGACTAACTTGTCGGCAACTCATTGATTTGCGTTCATTATATATTGGCATTGCTCCAAGCATGTGTGACTGACTCTTCCTGCTGTGCGACTGGATAGGAGAGAGTCCCTAGTCGGATCGATCCAACCTCTTCTAAATAGAGCTTGCTTCCGCGACCCTGGTAGGGATCTCCTGAAGCAATTCTTTGGTTGAGCAAGAAGGACAGAGGAAAAGGAGACGCATCAAGCATGTCCGATAATCTGGATAAGAGCCACCACGATGCGGTCGAGACCGCCGCACCTCCCACTAAGAAGCGTGGTTGCGCTGCACACTGCAAGCGGTTCTGGTGGGCCTATGTCATCGGCTTCATCGTCGTCCTGCTTGTCGTTATTCTGCCTGTGTAGGTATTCGTTCGAAACCACTCACGGGGACAGTTTGCTGATCATCGAGATAGAATCTACGTTGGATACCCTAACATCGCCCAGCGAGATGTCAACCGATCAACCCTCGAAATCACGGAGATGGAAATCACAGACCCATCTCCAGACTCATTCCACATCAGACTGACCCAGGTCATTGGCTCCAAGAGCAAATACCACCCAAATCTTGACGCATTCAACGCGGATGTTTCCCTCCCCAACAGCGACGAGCCATTCCTCAAACTCAACGTTCCAGCCGTCAAGGCCGTTGACGGTGCGGTTGCTAAGATCGACCAGGATGTGGACTTGCCCAATGGCGATGCTTTCGCCGCATACTCGCTTGCCGTCATGAAGCAGGAAGAGGTCTCGATGATCGTTTTCGGTGAAACCGGGTTGAAGGAAGGATCTCTACCCAAGACCACTGTAACCTACAACAAGACCGTGACTATGAAGGGTCTTAATGGCCTTAAGGGCTTTAACGTGACGGAGTTTGAGATCACACCCCGAGACGACGACGGAAACAACATGCGCGGAAACGTGTTCATTCCCAACCCCAGCGTGATGACTCTGACTATGGTAAGGAACCGCTTCTTTTGCGTCAAGCAACGGTAAATCGGAAAACGTGTACTAACACAAATCTCAGGGCAATCTCACCCTCAGCCTCTCTGTCGATGGGAAAGACATTGGCAAATCCTTCATGAACAACGTCGTCATCCGCCCCGGCGACAACAACATTGAAATGAAATCCAAGGTCGACCAAGCGCAAGTCCTCGGCCTAATCGCTGGCAGAAACGCGCGCTACCGAAACGGCATTGTCCCTATTGACATCGTCGGTGACTCGGCGGTTTATAACGGTGAAGATCTCCCCTACTATTCCAAGGCCTTGGCCTCGAACAAGTTACATGTGGAGTTGAACGTTGGAGCTGCACTGGGATCCTAAGGAATCCATGCTCTCTTGGTTCCCTATTTGTGGCTACCGCGTGTATATTCCATTGCTTTGGATGCGAACTACTCCTTTTTTTCCCTTCCGATATGTCTTGCGGCGCATTTCAAAACAATGCCGTATAATTCTTTTTTGGGAATCAGAGCTTTAACTACATAACCTATGCTTAGGAGCGGAGCATTCACTCCGAGCATCCCATGATTATCCTCCTGACATATGCTTGACGATTTAGCCCACTTTTCCACCTGGGCTGGATGAGATTTCTCTTATCTTCCTTTTTTTCTTTTTGCATTGAAATACCCCATCTGGTTTACTGTCTGCCCAGCCTTGGTGATCTCCAGGGCATGGAGGTGTATGGAGATACTATGAAGCAAGAATACTTTTGATGAATGTACTGTACATAAGGACACGTAATAACGGAGGCACATTGTATTAAGTACGGAGTACTGACCATTTACCTGATCGCACTTGACTCCCACATTATATTATTGCCCGCATATTCAACTCGACATCTATATCCGCGCTGAAGAAGCTAGCAAGGCGCTAATCTGTTTTGGGACGAACCTAAAATGGATTTGGATCAAAACCTTATTAGAAAGCACGGTTACATGCCTGCCAGTTATAGAAAGACGCATCACTCCTGCCATACCATGCAGCTTTCATCCACAACAATCGCGCCGCAAAGCATTTCAACCACATCTCATGCTACCTCTCTCCTCTAGACAGCGCTCGTCAAAAGCTCAATTTTTGATGCAGGATGTTCAAATACGGACCTACTTACGGTCCATGGCCCCTTGGAATCAATGGTGCCACCAACAAGTCTGATAATAAGATGATACCCAGTGATATCTCCATCTACTTTAATGCTGTGTACTATCCCAGCTGGAGGATCTATAAGAAACAGCCTCCGTCTTCGCTGACGCTAGGATGCGTGAGCCATGTTTTTTATGCGTTTGCATGGTATGGGACCTAGCCTAGTGGAGCCGTTTCCCGAACCCAGTGCCCAAATGCTGCTAGGCCATCTCTTTTTCAAACATGTTTTGTTTTCTTTCGGTGCAAGCTGAGGGTGGGCAGATGGATGATGTTAATTTTCTTTACTCTAGGGTGAATCCAGATGGCACCGTCAGAGTTAGTTCACTTTCGTTTTGTGCGCCTGGGTAGTATAGACTCGTTGACGGACTTTTCAGGTCGGTGATCAGTGGGCAGATGAGCAGATGCCTGTGGATGGGACACATGGGTGTATTAGAGCGTTTGCTCAGCTGAAAGACCAGCATGCGGGCCTGAGGGTATTACTCTCAATTGGCGGGGGTGGGATGGGTAGCCAGCATTTCGCGACTGTTGCCGGAAACCCGATAGCGTTGGGTAACTTCGTGCGGAGTGCAAAGGACCTGGTGGATAAGTTTGGTCTTGACGGGCTTGATAGTACGGCGATGTTCCCTTGAGCATTCACCATGCAAAAAATATTTTTTGCCGAAGCTAACACACCGTATAGTTGACTGGGAGCACCCTTCTGATCTCGAGCAGGGAGAAAATTACGTCAATCTTCTTCGTGTTTTACGCGAAGCCCTCCCATGGTCTTGCTACACACTCACCACCGCGCTTCCTGCCGGAGAATGGGCCTTGAGACACATCAACCTTAGTGATGCCCAATGCTACGTTGATCTGATCAACCTTATGACCTATGATTTTTCTGGCCCCTGGGCTCCTAACAGCGGCCATCAATCCCAACTGTTCTCGCCTGCAGTTCCGCATCATGAGGCTGCCGAAATCTCCTGCCACTCGGGCGTGTCATATGTTTTGGCCCAAGGCGTTCCTCCGAGCAAAATCCTCCTCGGCATTCCCGCGTACGGGAGAGCATTTCCGGGAACAACGGATATTGGGCAGCCTCACTGCATCAGAGATGGAACGAATGAAGATGAAATCGTGTTTGATTACCGTGACCTTCCGCTGCCGGGATGCCTAGAGCAACAAGACGACTGCTTGTGTGCGGCATATTGCGTAGACCGCAACATGGGTTTCGTGTCATACGATTCAACGAAAACGGTGGGGCACAAGGCCAAGTTCGTGAAAGATATGTGTCTTGGAGGTTTGTTTTATTGGCATATTGCCGCTGATGCTGTTGGGAAAAGGAGTTTGGTCGCCACAGGGTACAGCGCTTTGCATGATTTATACAGCAAACCATAGTTAGATGGCTGGTAACGTCTATGTGGTGAGGAATTGGCCGCCCTGGTTTGCAACTGCAAGTCAGAGGAATTCAAAAGAGTCGGTATCATTATCAATTGAAAATTCATTGAGTTGTTTAGGATAAACATAATGTTACAAGAGCCGGCTGGCGTATTTGGGCATCATCCAACTTATGCTACGCTAACATAACCGCTGATAGATTGGATTTATTGATTTTATGGACGTAGGGAATCTCCCAGAACGCTGGGTCTATAGAATATAGCTCATCCGTCCGTCAATAATGTGATTGAAGCGAACAATATACATGAGTGTGAATGCATGGCTAATAAACTTATGTAAGCAGGCCGGCCTGATAGCTATGACTTTCAGGAAATTCCAACTACTTCACCCATACACTGAAGTTTGCTATTATCTCTCTATCTCACTGCACGGAATTATACACTATCTGCAGGAAATCTTTTGCGCCAAAATGGCAGAAGTCCATAGTGTCGTGAACCGGATTGTGTCCGCCGACAATCCGCGCGATCCAAATTTCACCAGATTCGCCTTCAGCCCGTTCCTACGCAAGACATTCGGCTTTGGTCTCGCCTCCGATGTCCCCGTCTGCAAGGCCTATCGCGAAGGGCACTGTCCCCTGGGTCCCATGTGTCCCGACCGGCACCCAACACCCTCGCGAATCTCAACAGCGACGTCGCCCGCTATCGCGCCATCGTCTACGCACGGCAGTCTGGTCTGCAAACATTACCTAAAGGGACTATGCAAAAAGGGCATAAAATGCGAATATCTACACGAATACAATCTGCGCCGCATGCCGGAGTGTCAATCCTTCTCGCGGAGCGGCTACTGTCCAAACGGCGATGATTGCCTGTACCAACATGTCCCCGAAGAAGCAAAGCTACCATCCTGCGAGCATTATGAGAAGGGCTTCTGTCCGTTGGGACCGCTGTGTGCGAAGAAGCATGTGCGGAGGAAGATTTGTCCGTTTTATCTGGCTGGGTTTTGCCCCGATGGGAGAGCGTGTGCGCACGGTGCGCACCCGCGGTGGCCGGAGAATTTGCCGAAGCCTACTGTGAGGGTGGAGAAGTCTGCGGAGGAGATTGAGAGGGAGAAGGCTCGAATTCGGGAGGAGCAGGAGAAAGAGGAGGAGAGGGAGCGGGAATGGAGGAGGGAAAATCGGGGTCGGGGTGGTCGGTTTATGGGCGGAAGGTTTCGGGGGAAGAGGTGATAATTCGACAGCGTGGCATAACCTCTTTTCTGATATTGAAATGGGCTGCATGAATGTGGCGTTACTTGTTGGGCTTTCCGTTGAAAGGCGTTGGTTGTTGCATTGTATTTCTTGTGTCTGGTTTCGTGATCTGAAGATACCCAGCTATATCACTTCCCGAATTCAATTGTTCGATATACCTATAGTCCAAAGCTATATAAGCCGTTTATTCCTACGGCGATTTACCCCGAGTTACGGAGTCTAGAAGAGGGGGTTTGGCGGGTGGAGTTGGACTCTCCGTATGCGGTGCAATTTCGGCAATTCCTCAAATCCAGACTTTGGCCTCCATCAATCAAATAAATTCACAATTCGATTCTCCTAGCTCCAGACAAGATATTTTGAGACTGAAAAGCTTTATTCTAGTTAGATTGACTGGTATTTTTTTTCACAATTCAGATACGTGACCCAATTCCTCCCCAAGGTTCACGTTCTTCGTATCAATGTCCAACCAAAAGCCCAACCTACTCTCCCAATTCACGCATTATGCGAGCACAGCTCCTGGGATTGAAAACATACTGCGACTACTACAGGCGGTTTCCCAGTTCTTAGCGGCATGGAGCTTCATTGGCGAGAGTGAAGCCGCCAAATGGAGGATTGCTGGAAATCAATTCTCGTTGGGTATTTTGACCCTGCGTACATACGACTCACCTTGGATGCTCATGCTAAATCATGACTAGGACGTCGATACTTTCGCTATTTTCAATTCGTTACTTTTTTCCAGAACGCGTGGGATACGTTCAATGGGCAGAACAAGGCCGTTTCTAGTCGTGGACGGATAGCCCTCAGCCTTGAAGTGTGCTCTCTGAGCTCGTTTGGAATGTTTCTTTTCTTGGAGGCTTTCACCATTGTGAGTATGGCTTTCCAAGCAATTGAGCCTCTCTTAGTTTGAAGCCCTACGTGGAGCGGACGTCTTTGAACGACGGTGTAGCTGATATAGTACCGCCTTCAGCTTGACGCCTTGGGCGTTTATTCAACGCAGTGGAGCAACAAGGTGCTCATTGAAGCCAACAAGTTCTGGTTCTACGCAATACTATTTTCAGCACTGGGCAACATTTGGCAGCTTCTGAAGCTCCAATATGCACCGACAAAACGGCCAAAAAGCGGATCGCCGAAATCGAGGGCGAAAACGAATGGATCAACAGTCAATGGCCACGGAAAAGTAAAAGCACGGGGCCATGTCAACGAGGGGGAAATTTTGCCGTGCTCCATCCTGATACGAAATCTAGTTGTGAATGGGTGCGACATTTTTATTCCAGGGTCGATTGTGGGTTGGATTGACGCGTCTCCTCTATTTGTGAACAGTGCAATGGTGCTGAGTACGGTTCTTGTTGGAAGAGACAGATGGACAAAGGCACAGGGGAGTGTTTAGGGTCCAGTTGTCCGAGCGGGATCTAGTTACAATCCGGCGCTGTAGACTTCTTTTCCCCTTGCGAGCTCATGTTGACAGCAAGTTAGCTGGAACTACATTACTTTCCCGTTCCATGCTGGCAGGAAATTCCTTGTCCCTGAGGGTAGTTAATAATTCGGCCTACTCCGTAGCGGAGCGACTGTTGCTCGGCCCTACGAAATGCCGGCATCCGAATGGGGGAATTTTGATCTGTTAACTAATAACTGTGTACGGAGTAACTACAGGGCGACCAGCAAACCCGCTAATCGTGGGAAACGACCTTGAGTGGACTTCAAAGGAATCTCCGCCAATGCATTTCTAACTACTGCACACGGTTCAAGAGAGAAGAGAAAAGTTGCAGATTTGTCCACTCCAGATAGCAGAATGCAGAAATGTGGTTGGCCCAGCCTGGCCAAAGCTGCATCCCAAGAATGTTGCCTGAAAGATTCTTGGAGACACAAGCAGAAAATAGGCACCAATTGACTGGACATGCAATGTTGCTGCTTTTGACTTGATGCTTGACCCAACCTCTCGAGCTGTTCATCCCCACAAAGGACACTACCGTCGCCAATCTATGCAGGTCCATAGTTGCCTAAAATCAAAGGTGATTGTGATGGTCTATCACGCTCATCGGCAAAGGGGGCAATCCCAGGGGCTCAACCCATTTCAAAAGATATAAATGTGAAGATCTCTCCTCTTTAATCTCAGAATTTCGAGATCTCAGTTGAGAACCAGATACCTTTTTCCATCGTGAAAAGTGCTTGTTATTCCGAGTCAAGAGATACGAGAATTGCCGTCACACACTGCCATTTCTAGTTGTTAATCATGTCGGATCAGCATACGGTGGAGCCTGAGCAATCTGGAGGGTTTCCCCTCTCCCCAGAGGAGCTATGCGAGGCTATTAAGAAGACCATGACCAAGGTAAGTGTTTTGTGTGTGCCTTTATACATGTTTCACTAACTAGATATATTGTTTAGGATTGCAAAATTGATGCTTGCATCGATAAATTTTTCTCCCAGCTTCTGGACCTGCCAGGGATAGAACTATATTGCCCATGGCGCGACTACTGCCAGAGAGATGTCGATCAGGACCAACTTGCAATGATTAAAGACACGCTGTTAGCTGATCTGGATAACCTCGTTCCAGAGTATGACGAAGAGGAACTCCCAAAGCCTGTGACAACTGAGGATAAGTTCAAGTTTCTAAGCGATAAGTTAGCTAGTCGCTGGGAGCAATGGTACACCTTGGTGACTGGTATGTCCTGTTCGAACGCTATTCGGGGGACTTAGTGCTAACTATTGTAGACGATGATGAAATTTACCAAAAGCTTCGGAGCGCTTTCGTATGGGAAATCAAGCCAGAAGACTTGGCGGAAATAGCTGCTAACAGTGATTCCGAAGAAAAGATGGATTCATCCCTGTTTGATGGATTGAAGGACATAATCCAGGAGAATCAGTCTAAAGCAGTATTCACTTGTGGGGGCTCGATTGCAATTGCTCGGTCGCAGAATAAGCGCAACCCCCTTCGGCAATCACCGCCAATAACTTTCTACTGGTCTTCAGAGGATGCTACTTTGCACAGAACCTTGATGCCTGAAGGGCATAGCTCTAACTCCTTTCAACAACTAGTCAAGGATTGCTCGCCGGCTACATTTGGTCTCGGGCAAAAAGACGTACTCGATACATCTTATCGCCATGCTGGAAAACTTGACGCTGACCGTTTCTGTTCCACATTCCACCCTGCTGATTTTGGTATTTTGGATTCCATTGAGCAGACCCTACTGCCAAACATCAATTCCTCCCAGGAGAATACTTTGGAATTCCGTCGAGTGCGAGCCGAGCTTTATAAACTAAATGTACGTTCGCATCCCCCCGCTAGAAATAAAGAACAAAGTCAATGATGGCTAACATTAACAGATTTACTCTGGCCCCTCGGGATTATTCCGTGCACACGTTGACACTCCCCGTTCACCAGATCAGTTTGGGTCTTTGGTCGTCTGCCTTCCATCCTCCCACGAAGGCGGGACCCTCATTGTCCGACACCAAGGAAAGAGCGTAGAGTTCGTTTGGGATAATGCAAGCTCTTCGCATATCCAATGGGCCGCTTTCTACAGTGATTGTGAACACGAGATTGAGCGCGTTACCAAAGGTTATCGGATGACTTTGACGTACAATTTATATGTTACTGAACCAGTTGGGGGGTGTTTACTGCCTAACCCACTAGTGGAGCCTCGCAGCTTTCCGGTGTATGGGGAAATGAAATCTTTGCTTCAAAACCCGGAGTTTATGAATGAAGGTTAGCAGTTTGCTGGCGTATGGCAATGATTTTTAGCTGACTCTGAAGTAGGAGGCATCCTGGGCTTTTACTGTTCCCATTCCTATCCCCACGCAAGTAAAGAGGCAAAGCTTCTGCTACCTCGAAAACTCAAGGGTGCGGATATGGCTTTGTACGCGGTGCTAAGCACCCTTGGGCTTTTGGTTCGAGTCCTGCCAGTTCTTCAGGTCAGTCTCCAATGCATTTGTAGTTTGAGCTAGTAGAATTGATATACATTGCTTTGCCAGGTTGTCGATCTAGTTGATGATTGGGAGTCGTACGAAAGATATTCCGTTGAAGAATATGCCAAAACAGGATATATGCCCAGTTACGGCTACAACTCCAAAAAACCCAAAAAGGGAGCCCTAAAATTGAAGTATCTCCACCTATCCTGCAGTGCAAATGATATCCAAAATATCCATGCACGATGGAAACTCCTGTACAGAGGCCGGGTACCCCTTGGTATCAATGGGCCGGATTTAGACGTCGTGGGAACGGAGCTTCATTCTAAGGCCACGCAAAACCATGGCCACGACTCAACACTGGGGCCTGTATGTGATATTTCAATGGACACCGGGCGCTATATTGGTAAATTCGCTAACTGTGACTAGATTCTCAAGGACAAATGGCCGAACCTCCACGTTGGCGGGATTAATTGGGTCAACGAGCCAAAGCATGAAGAGGAAGCTTTGACCCGCATGATTTATGGCAACGAGGCCTCCGTGGAAACGATTTACTCCAGCGCAGCTATCCTTGCAATCATCCCGCCTTGGGGCCAGAGAAACACCGGGAATCAGGGAGAGTAAGGTAAGAACCTCGTAGCCCAGCCGTAATTTGTTTCCTTATTTATATCGGAGAATTTCGGGGTTGCAAACGCTTAAAACAAAAATAGAAAACTTATATGACTGACTTGATTTGTTTCTATATTCTGTAGTTGAAGAACTAAATTGGACAATCGTGGACTCCTTTGCAAATGTGAATTGATTCAAATGAGTATATATGTTGTAATTTGATTGGAAAGGATCGTTGATTACTCTGTAGCTAATATATGTACCTAATTCCCCAAAGTTGCATGCGATGGCAATTATTGTATAACATGGCGCTTTGGTAATTTGCAAGGACCACTTTCAATATCTTCATCATCTTCAGAGGCAGCAGATCTATTCCCTTTGTCAGAGTAAATTGCTGGGATGGAGCAGTCTCTAGTTTTTCTCTTTCTACCGTGATTGGGCTTTTACACGGTTATGCGAAGTTGACCTTGGCAACAGTTTCATAGAATGCTGCGCCTTGGATTTCTGCAAGTTCGATTTCCATCGCAGAAGGTTGTCGAGAGCCATCTCCAGCCTGAAATGGAAAAGCAGTTAGTTTTGTCAAGGTCGCAACAGAGCTAACAGAAGCCAACACGTTGCTCTCTGGCCTGTGTAGGCGAAAAAAAGCCAGCTCCTGTGAATGGGAATTACTTACAGCAAAAGTCCCGGCACCCCAGGGGCTGCCACCTCGAGCTTCTGAAAGGTTGGAGAGAAGGGGGAAGGCAGTCTTGTACCCAAGTGGGACGAAGATCATTCCGTGGTGAACAAAGGTGCTCATCGCGGAGATGACGGTGGACTCTTGGCCACCTCCGGGCGTTCCGGTAGAAACGAAGGTGCCGACGTATTTACCCCAGTAACCACCCTTGGCCCAGATAGCACCGGTCCGATCCCAAAAGGCCTTCCATTGAGCGGGGAAGTTCCCGTAACGAGTGGGAATGCCGAATAAAAGAGCATCGTATTCCAAGAGGGCTTCAGGTGTGGCGATGGGGTATTGGGATTTGGCAGGGGCATGCATCTTGGCCAGGACTTCATCTGAGAGGGTTTCTTGGATTCTGGCAAGGATGTTAGGTTCCAGGTATTTTCAACAAGTTCGCTGCGTGTTTGGTGATGGGGAGGGGCCTACTGGTATAGTTGAGCGGTACCGCCGGCGGCCTCAATACCTCGCTTTTCAGCTTCAGCAAGCTTCTGGATGTGTCCATACATGGAATACTAAGCGTCCACAGTCAGCGGTGATGGTCAAGTGCGCCCAGCAGGGACGGAAGCACGCACGAAAACAATTGCGATTTTAGGCGCCATGGTGAGCTAGAGGTGCAATTGAGTTGGTGTAAAGGCTAGGGAAGTGTCTCAAGAAAGGATAGAAGGTGAACACAGGGCAATTGAGTTGTTCCCGATATCTGGCCATGGTGAAAGTGGGATGGGGAGGCCGGTATATATACTCGCAAGTCAATGACGTGCCTGGGGAGACAAGCTCGCCCTGGACCAGAGTTGCACCGGGAGCTTGAGAAATCCCCCGATGCTCCCAATTCCGCATCTAACTAGGTTCAAGGGAAAAAGGGCTTGTGAGAGCCTGACAAAACGGACTTCTCGGGCACGGCGAGACGGACAGCCCGCAGCCGATGCAGCACAGGGCCCAGTATTAGTAAAGATGGCCTATTCTTGGGGCCTGGTGGGGTATCATCTGGAGCAACGGGAGAATCCATCTCGGGTGGCACAGTGTTCCATGCTGATGCTGAGATAAAGCTGACAAAGGCGTTTGCGAGAGTGTTAAACGCCACGCACGGCTATTGAACATGCATGTGCAGCACAGCGGTTGGTGATTGCTGACAGCTGATGAGTGATTGCAGAATACCCTGTCGATTTCTTCCAGGATGAAGTAACTAACTCTCATTCTTGTAACTAATGCTGCGAGCGCCCTCCAGCTGGACAAAGTCCAACAAGCCAACTGCAACTCTCATTGAACTTCCAGCACAACCAGGCCAGTTCCCCAACTTTAACCCAATAGTTGATCAATGATGGAGCTACCATGCTGCTGTTTGAGTTACACAAGCTGGAGCAAGGAGATGCAAAACCCCCGAGTTTCATCAATCAACCATCACTAACCCGCATTTGTAGCAGACAGTCTCACCAATCGACCTTCACACGAGGCCCGCTTTCGACTGTTAACACTCCATGATGGCACTGGGTAAAGCGCTGAGCTGCATCGGCGCTGTTACGGTCTGCTGCGTCCTTTTGAAAGTCTCGTCAATCATGCTCGAGTACGTCCGCCCCTCCCGCCTCTCCAAATACCTTCGCGAAGACACCGTTGCCTATGCCCTCATAACGGGAGCCACAGACGGCATTGGCTTGGGATTCGCACGCGAACTCTGTCGACAAGGTTTCGGCGTTATCTTGCACGGCAGAAACCAACAGAAGCTCCAGCGGACGCAAGATGCGCTCAAGGACGAATTTCCCGACGCCCAGATACGTACCTTTATCTGCGATGCGGCGCTGCCAACTCCTCCAGAAGTCTTTGATGAGCTTGTACGAGACCTGGTAGATGTGAAGCTGACGATTCTAATCAACAACGTTGGGGGCTCAGCTGGTGCCGCCGAGAATCCATTCAAGAGTTATGAGGAGTGCACAAGCGATCAGCTCGACCGCGTGCTTAACGTCAATGCCCGGTTCATGACGCAGCTGACGCGGGCGTTGTTGCCGCAACTCCGCCAGAATGGCCCCAGCATGATTCTCAACATTTGCTCTTTCTCTGCCCCGGGGATCCCTTTTGTTACTGCGTATAGCGCTACGAAGGGATACATCAAGGGCTTTTCCGCCGCGTTGAGCATGGAGCTGAAGATGCAGAAGAAGAATGTTGATGTCGTCACCCTCATCGTTGGGGAAGTGCACACTGCTAGCTATCGAATGCCGCCGAGTTTCTTCGTCCCTACTGGAAGAGAGTTTGCACGGTCGGCTCTGAAAAACGTCGGTTACGGCAGTGGGACGATCACGGGGTATTGGCCACATGCGATTCAGCATGCCTTTGTCAGTGCGATCCCGGAGTGGATGAGACAGAGGTTTGTGATGCAGGCAGTAGGAGCTAAAATGGCCGCATATACCAAGCACGTCAAGGATAGTTGAAGATTTGAGTATAATAGTTTGTAGCCATGCAGCTGGACAGCACCGATGAGTAAAAACAGGAGACATTCGTCCATCCGCCCAACAGTCAATCAAATCCCCTAGGTTTGGGGGCCATTCTCAGTTTCAACAAACAGCATTTGTCAAGGCATGTTGGCTTTCCTCCTACAGCTCACACTGCTCTGCATCACGTCCCTTACATGAGTTCTATGGAAAGAGGTAGATACTAGTTGCTGGAGTTGTCTTTTCTGATCATATAGTCTTATCTGTTCCCTTTCTGCAATACATAATTTATTTTCTTATTTCTCGAAATCTCCTGAAATGCTTTTTGATATTTCTATCTCATAAACGGCTTCAACGTCTGCTTTCCTGTTCAACTTGCCAGTGATCTGAAGTCCTAACCTGCTCCTCACTTTCAAATCACTTCCTACATCATTCAGCCTCTAATATGCTGGAAAATGTCTTACTTACCTTCCAGTTTGTTCAACCCTGAATTGGTTTGTTTGGCTCCAGAGTAGTTATTAGTAATTCCATTTTTGATCAATGGAGAATAACTATATAATGACCAGCCGCAAGAATGTCCCCCCTGCCTTTGTAGTTACAATATATGCGGTTGAAAAAATTCCATTCAAATCTACAGGCAGTCAAGTTCACATCTTGACATTACAGCTCAAACCATGTTCTTCGCAGCACTATTGCTGGTTTTAGCGAGGCATGCTTTGCAACACGGAGGGGAATGCTGAGCAAAGCACCATCCAAACAGATCCATGACAAGCAAGCAAGCCACCGTTTGTCAGTCTTCAAGTTCTCAATCGGATGGGCTGGAGGGCCGGATCGAATAGACCCACTGAAGCGTGCCAGATCCATAAAGCAAGTATGGATTAACATTGGTGGCCGGCTCTAGTTACCGGATCGCAAAGGAGGATTGATACCATCCCACAGGAGAAACAGTGAAGAAAGACCATCTGTAGCCAAGTTTGTCAATCGATTTTATGTGTGTATGCACGTAAATACACCAACCACCCAATAGCCACTCTAGCCAACTCACAGTTATGCTTTCCGTCGCCTGGCCCCTCTCAGTTCACTAAAATCCCAGCATAAAAATAGTAGTTATTCCATTCTGCCCATGCTACGTATATCCATCCACATGAGGCCAGGATCTAGATCGGGTTTAGATAGAGCATGGTAGATGAGAGGTGGTTTTATGGGGCTCGAGGAAACGGTATGAGAGACTAGCATCGCAGGCACCGGAGACAACGAATATTTTTTTTATTCTAAACTAGCCCTCTTAAACCTTTTAGCAAGCTGACCATCATCAGGACAGGGAGGATTGGGGTTAAAGGGTTCATGGTGAGAATGGTGGTGATAGTGGGTAGAACTCTCAGCTTGCCAGAATGGCTGAGAGCGCTTGGGGGGCTGCTCACCACTCTCCTGAAGAATGGTCACCAATGTGGCCCAGCCCGATGTGTTAATCAACTGGACGCCATCGGCGGGGTCATGAGTTCGGGCGACAGTGCACAAAAGGGTCTCCTCATCCTAGAGCATCAAGTATTAGCGAAGGGAGATTCACGTCGAATAGAGAGTCATCGTTCTACCTTAGTCAAAATACCGAGCCCATGCATGAAGCAGAGCAAATGGAAATTAGACACAGCGCGTATCGCTGAATCAGGGTCTGTGCGAGACAAAAGCTTGTTTGCGACTCTCCGAATGTCTTGACTCTCCCCGATAACCTCTCGATTCTCAATCGGAAATGTATTATCAGTAAATAGGGGGGAAGACCCAGTTGGGAAACCATGCGTCAAAGTCACAAAGAGATATTCAACGGGGAAAGCTGGTTTAGCGTTCTCTTGCACGTTCGCGCCATACTCATTGACTTTCCTATAGAAGACTTCTGGAATGTAGCGTACTGTGCCAGTATCTGCATTTTCCAACTCGCTCTCAAGCTGGACGAGCATCACAGATGGGTCCGCGGAAGGTTCAACGATGTCCGCCCTCACCATCTCCACCGCCGAATTTGATGCTTGGTATGCACTGATGGAGATAGCACCATTTTCATCTCCGCTCAGAATGCACGTTACAAAGTTAGAGCCGAACCGGCCGGTTTCGCTCCATTTGCTTGGCTTCGGGTATCTCGCTTGAAGTTGAGCCGCAAAGATTACCTCGAGTGAGGAGAGATAGTAGGAATCGATGTGCCTCCGGCATATAACGGTTCCGTCTCCATGTCCTGAGTCTAAAAGATCAGTGAAAATAACGCCCACCTTTTCAAGCCCGCACAGCTTAGCGACCTGATCCACATCTTGCTCATTCTCCCATTCCCGGAGAGTAATTCCGTCTACTTCGTCAACTTGGGGCGGTTCGTAGATGGCCTGGACAACTGCTTTTATGCCGAGAGGCACTTCGGAATATTCTTCATATGTGCCATATAAGAAGCCCAGTCGCTGGGCACCCGATTTCCGCCAGAAATCAAGCAAAGAATCTATTAGATCTGGCGAAGCGAATTCAACATGATCCACCATTCGAAATTCTTGTGGCTGTAACGTGATGGCGCTTGGCTGACACTTTGTGCAAATCCCTTCTGGCCATGCAGGATGCCCGGAAGGACAATCTTTCCGTACCCTGTAGTAAGGCTCTGTGAGGGGAGGCATATAAGAGCTTTTCAGTTCTGGTTTGTTTTTCGATGAGTTGACCTTTCGCAGATACGAATGGAAGGATAGATGTTTAATCTTCTTATCCATCAAATATTCCGGGGCATACGGCTCCAAGGGCATACAATAATCGCACATTCCCTTTGAACCATGGCGACACATCTTCAGATCTCGTCCCCTGGGTATCTTGCCATCTTTCTTATCTAGTCGATCATCCAGTGCAGACTGTTGAACAACTTCCCATGGATTTTTGATAACAGCGGTTGGAGACGATGGCGCTCGAGCTACTGGCCGGTCTTCTTGCGGGACCGCCGCCCCATTTAACCGCCGTGAAATATTTTGTGAGGCTCCAGAGGTTGACTTCGCATCGCCATTCGCGAGAGACGATTGTTCGCTATAGCCGACATATAATTTATCTCCATGCCTTGGTTTTCCGCCTCTGTTACTCTCCACTCGAAGCCTAAAACCGCATGACGCCAGGATATAGCTTACTTTAGGCCAACCCTCTGTATCGCAACACCATTTAGCGAGCTTATCTTTCTCTCCTCACCGCCGGTTCCTATGGGCTGATTCGACAAAGTGATAGAACCCGGATCAACGTTCTGGGGTAAATTCGAAAGGATCTACCATACAAAAGAGACGCGTGTTAGCCCAGATCCTCATTTCCAACTCCCGCAACGGTTAACAGAAATAATCCCTGTTTGGGTAAAGTGGTACCTTAGGCAATAAAGTTGGGAAAAGCTCAGAAGGTTCAACAGTCAAGCGAAACTGTCCGTTCCGGCTCTCAAATCGGAGGAGGAGGTTCTTTGTGGGCCCCATGGCTGGGAGGTTGGAATGACGAAAGAGTCGGCTGTTTTAGAGAGCGTGCATTTCAGTTGGTAGTTGGCTCGGATGGCTTGCAATATTGATGAAAGATAACTCGATTTCTATAACCTCGCTCACCCAGGGCCTTTAAATGGGAGAGTTATTGTGGTCAAAGGTCTTTGATGCTTGGGGACTGGCGCATCATGACATGATGCTCCAGCTCGAAGCTTCTCCAGGAACAACATTTGCCCATCACCGGCGAAGCCGTCCACTCAGTTTGGGGTGTCAACCCCTCCATCCCAAACCAAATCCTTTACTGGTTTACTGGCGACAAAAGTCTGATAAACGATAAAGATAGGATATTCCGATCTGCATTAACAAGGCTCTCTTGACGGTTCCTAATTTGCCTACTATTCCGAAGCGGCCTTGTCTTTTCGGTGCTTTAAGCAAGCATTGCCGCTTATCCCAGCCTTCTTATCCCGTTGTGAGACTGGTTCACCTTGAAGCAAAGCCCAGTTCTCGCCTACCCGTTCATATGGTTGCTTAGCTACAGGCTTCCCAGCGGCCTCCAGCGTCCCGGAACATCGAGCTTGTTACTAGATGCTGACTGTGAGCAACTGAGTTTGGCTGTGGGCGGTTCGAAAGACAGGGCTAGAACAAGCTGTTCTACAATCTTGTCTTGCAAACATAACCTCGCAAGTATGGAATAAGAGCATTCTTACGGGGAATTTAGGGGACAAGGTGGCAATGTCGAACCATTGCGTACTGATACACCAAGTCACCATGCTCTCACCGTCTGGCGGATCATTCATATTGCAGCTGCTGGTATCAGTTCATCCCTTTTTCGGCCTGTTTGCCACCGGCCGAAAGATGATAGTTCCCATGAATCGATCCGTCCCGTTCAGATGGACTCATAAGGCCGAATCTCCGCGTCGAAACCTGTTTGGAATTTGATCATAGACCCCAAAGAGCCCTCATTTCGTTGTATGGGCTTCAATCGGTTATAAATCAAGGATGAGGCCCCCTTCGAATTGACGTCCCTGTGAAAATTGCAGAAGTTGTACACTCGCGCATACCAGTCAAATCCAAGTTTGTTTATCACGAAGAACTCATTATGGCGCCCCATGATTTTCAGCTGTCTTCCCAGAATATCAAGCTTGAGAATAACCACGTTCTAGCCGCTGATTGTGCCGACCTTTCTGGTCACTATCAGCACAGCACATTGGATCTTAATACCTGTCTCGGAGACAGCAATGGTAATATAACTACCCATTCGATTTCAGTTTCTCTTTCCCAACCCCATGTTTTTCGCGTCATGTCAGTTGGCTGAACACCGGATACCAAATATTATCAAGCTGAATCGTTCGACTGCTTAATGCTTCCATGCTGATGTGCACTAGGTAATTTTATGTGGCATGGAAAGGACTTCTCCTCGCATGCTCACAATATCTTATTCAATCCACATGAGGGGGCCGCAAAGGTGCCCGTATTGCGGGCTGATCTTGATGGTGGAAGACAACAGAGTAATGTGAATTTAGGGGAGCGGATCGGCAATGAAAATGGCCATCTCATTTTTGCATGGTAACTGATTTCTCTTTTCGGCTCATCAGCTCGGTGCTAACATAAATAGATGAAATGGCGGATCGACAAAGGTCGTCGGTGCCATTGACCATAGCCCTTGGACAAAAGTTGTTGAAAGTATTGCAACAAGTGACTTCAAATTATAAAAGTGTAATATATGGATTATAATGATTTCGGGTATATGTTGATATATGTTTACTAGCTCCTAGCTTTGCCAAATGAAAGGATGGGTTCTAGTAACTACCCAAGGCACTCTCAGGCTCCTTGTTTGAGGTGAATCCACATGCCAGCATTAAGCAACGATTAAGCACAGTCGGCGTGGCTTAAGGGAGATTCATACGACCATCATTGAGGCTCGTCCGTTGAGTCCAAATACGGAGTAGACGCATCTCCATCCTCTGAGCAACCAACAAAGCAAGATTGATCCTGGTCAAGTTGTCTGCAGGGCTCAAGATGCCATATCCGCCAAGACCAACAGCTGGTGAGCCTCGGCTCCGCCACTTTGGCTCACAGCCACGCTTGAAGCCCAGAAACGACGACCAAACTTCTTCCGCAACGGTTACTGCCCCGATGGAATACGACAAATTCCCTTCCCGGAAGTTGGTGCGTGATGTTGGTGAAAGCAGCCCTGAGGAGTCAGGGTTTATGGATTGGCCGCGATGCAGTTAAAAAGGGACAGGAGCGGCCTCAGACAGGCTGGATTGCTCACTAGAATAGTTAGCAAAGCACTCTTGTTCTACCTATATTTGATATTACTACCTTTTGACACTTGAGAATGGAGAACAAAGACCTCAGCCAAAGTCTAGGTTTTGAGAAAGAGATAGCCAAGGATGTCAAATACCCCCCGAGCATCGCGTCCTCCATCACCAGTGCCGAAACAGCCGTCGAATCCACTGGAACTGCGTTTCCCTTCACACCAAGCAAATCCCTCTTTATAAACTCGCATGGCATCCGTCTCGTCCGCCTCCCGGTCCCTTCGTCTGAGCTAGAGATCAATATCCACCGCTCCGATGGCTCGGTCGCGTACACCTCCAAGCGCGACAAGCGCTGTTCAGGAGACGCGACACTCTCAACGCCGGAGACAGGAGACATGTTAAAGACAATCTACTTCTTCGGACCGAACCGTGACCCCGTCATCCGTCCTATATCTAAAACTGTGGAGCTCGACGATGAGCCAGAAAGCTCAAACGAAGCCACGGGTCTCGAAATAAAAGTCACCAGCAGATGGAAGTCTCGCACGCAATACTTCACTACGCTCTACGGTGACTCCTTCCAGTGGCGATATGTCCGCTGCGACGATCCTCAGTTGGGCTGTAAGAAGTTGCTCGTCTTAGAGAAGCTGGACAATAACAACCCCAACTCCGTGGGGCGGCGTATTGCCCAACTAGTTAGGAATGAACAAACGAGACCGCCTGGTACCACGAAGACCACTGCTGGCAATGGAGGTGAATTGGTTTTGGACGCTGATGCGATGGGGGTTGAGATTGACGAAGCATTGGTGGTGGCAACTTGCTTGTTGATGCTAAAGAAGGAAGTTGATCGGAGAAGGATGGTGCAGATGATGGTGCTTGGTGGCATGTTGTCCGCAGGCTAAGCAGATCTCGAGGATGCGTCTAATTCTATAGCCCTTTGTGGCTGTAAACAGGATCTGCCGGACTGGTCATTTGCTTGTCATTTGGAACTCCTCGAATTTCCCGAAGCAAGAGTATTCTGAGCTGAGTTTCTCATTGTTTATACCAGACAAATCCTCCAACAGCAATAGCACCAGTTTTTTTACTGTAGTGGCCTATAAATAATTAACTAGTTCAATATGTCGTTGCGTCTTATCATAAATTGTTACCATCGCGCTAAAAAGAGGAATTCAACTTTCCTCCCGCATTGAAATTTACATATCCCATGAATCCAGTTTCAATGGCGTTCTCGACTCCCCAAGATATTCCTTGGTGGATCTCAACACTCCCATTGTATGGGTATGATTGGAGATAACCCAGGGATTGAATATCAGGACTGCTCCCTTGACATCTGTATGCACACTAACTCCCGCCCTAGCGCACTCATAAGAACTTGCTAGTTAATCGATCTAGTGTCACTGCCCATCCAAACTTCAGTTTCCGCGAGATGAAAATCGTCATGCGCAAGCGTTATGATTTCTGCACCAGCCATCTCGCCAACACCCAATGCTGATTGCTCAGAACCATGCCGGGGCAGCATGATTTTATACCCGAAGTCGTGGCGCCGCCGGGGTTTGCGGGAACTCGTTAATTGCTCGAGCTGTACAAATCGCAACGTTAGCCCAAAGACGATCGAATGTCTGCAGGGAACAGGCTAGTTATATGAAACATGTCCCGAGCCCTCTTTTCATACTGTCTCCATTCTCACCTTTGATTGCTCTGCTTTCGGTGCGAACCTTTGTTTCGAGAGACATTCCTTCGAGGTATTTGTCCAAGCTACCCGCTGCTAACTATCATGGGCTACCATGAAACGGACAATGTTGACGACTCTCGCATGGCACCATTGGCGGGAACCGCGAAGGATGCGGAGGATATGAGGCGTATGAATAGGCGGCAAGAATTAAATGTGAGAGGATTCTCGGAGACTATGGAGTATTACAGATCGGATCTCCTTAACATCTGGCTGATATAGCGGGTCTACACGACCATAACTCTTGCCGGATATGCTGTACTCCTGGGCTTAACATGGCCTTTCTCCCTCTTGTCAGTCCGCTCACTTTATTTCCTTTTTCCGTGGACAATACCTGCGACTAACCTCCGGGACAGCACTGCGGCTCTATCTCTTACAAACGGCGGCCCTGCTGGTGCCATTTGGGTCTATGCGGGAGTGTGCACTGGCATGTTTACTGTAGTTCTATCAATGGCGGAGATGACATCTCTGTAAGCCCATATACGGCTATTGGTACTATGCAATGTCCTGATTGATGAAGTGAACCTACCGCGGGCGGGCAGTACCACTGGGTAGCTGTATTTGCTCCTCCAAAATGGCGGCGAATTGCCAGCTATATTGTCGGTCGGTATCACAATATGCTCAATACAAGTTGCCGTCAGACCAGGCTAACCATAATACCCTTTTTATCCAGGATGGATGTGCGCTTTGGGATGGCAGACCATCGTTCCCGCACCGGCCAATGTTGCTGCCTCCACTATACAGGCTTTCGCCGTTGTGGCTTCGGATTCGTATGATCCAAAACCATGGCATGTCGTAGCACTGACAGTAGCAATCTGCACATTGGCTGTTGTTTTCAACACGTTTTGCGCCAGGAAAACTCCAGGGCTCGAAGGTGTTGTGTTCGCACTGTACATCATCGAATTTTTCGCCCTCTTTGTCATCCTCCTCGTCATGGGAGACCGGTCCAGCGCCAAAGAAGTCTTCACGGCCTTCCAAGATAATGCGGGATGGGGGAGTATCGGTACTGCGTGCTTCGTGGGCTCGAGCGGTCCCATCATAACCGTCATCGGAGCCGATTCAGCAGTCCACTTGGCAGAAGAGATGAAAGACGCGTCGAGACACCTTCCCAGGTCGATGATGATCACGGCAAGCGTCAATTATACCGTTGGATTTCTGATGTTGCTCGCTACTATGTTTGTCGTCGGAAACGTTCAGGAGGTCCTTGACACTCCTACCGGAGCCCCTTGGGTCCAAATCGTCCTTAATGCAACAGAAAGCAGGAAGCTAACATTGGCCTTGATTGCGTTTATAATCTTCTTTCTCGTGTTTTGCTCCATCAACGCAAATACGACTTCATCCCGTCAGCTTTACGCATTTGCACGCGATGGAGGACTTCCTTTCTCCCAATGGATAAGTCGCGTACGTTGAAGTTGGATTCCCTCACCTTAAAAAAAGGAGAAAACGCAACGGAATGAATGATTAATGTATCTTTGTAGGTTGCTCTCAGCAAGCATATTCCAGCAAACGCGGTCTGGCTGACATGGCTGATCGGTTGCTGCATCGCGTTGATACCCCTTGGCTCCACTGAAGCGTTTTTAAACATCCAATCCATTGCAATCTCCGCACTGTTGGCTTCCTATATTGTTTCCATCGTCTGTCGACTGCACAATCGCAATTATGGCAGCGTGTATGGGAACCTCACCAAGCCACCACCGTTCTTTCTGGGCAAATTTGGCGGAAACATGATCAATATTTTGGCACTCTTGTTCCTCATTTGTTTCCTAGTTGCTGCGGTCTTCCCGATTGAGCCGCATCCGACTACACAGTCGATGAACTGGAGTTCATTGACCTTGGGCTGTATAGTCATTCTTGCTTTGATCTCATGGGTTGTTCGAGGGGATCAGTACGAAGGACCCAATATTACTGTTCCGATCGATGATTCAGAGAGAGTGGAGATGGAATCTAAAAGTTAGCAAAGGCCTTATATCTGGAAGGAATTCCCATGTTGATAAGGGCCTTGTATGTACATACATACATACATACATACACCCAATCGTGCTTCCCGCGTGGAAGGGCAATACTGCGACTATGCAAGCACAAATAGACGGCAATCTAATTAACTTCCGCACGGATATCTCTTGTTCAATGGGTCTGATTCTCGGATGTCTATGATCTCAATGTAAGTGACCAGGCCAGGAAGAGGGCAAGATCATTCAAATCTCATGTCCCTAATCTAGGCGGGACAATTTGAGGAGCGATGCTTATTCCGGGACCGAAAATTGAATATTCACTTCTAGAAACCTGAACCATTGACTACCCCGGAGGCAGAAAACCGAGAAAGGACATATCCTAACAATCTTCAAAAGCATTCTGAAGGCGCGCCGACGCTCGAAAAGCAGAAATGACTCGAAGTACCTACATACAATATGGTGACGCAATCGCCCGCGAGGACAGGACGAACAGAGACAAATTCTTGTATCAGCAAAAACCGCACGATATTGGAATCAAGGTCAAATTCAAACTTGGCTCAATCTTCATCTTCACCCCGAACCAACTCCTTCAGTCTTTTCTCCAATGTCTTTTGTCCCTCAACGGTTTCCCAGACTTCATGGGGTGCACGTTTCACGATATCCCACGCAATAAGCTTCCGGGTGATTTTGGTCAAGTCTTCCTGTTTTTCCTCCCACTCCCTACTTCTTCTCATCTCTCTCCCCGAGCTGACAACTACCAGCGGAGTAGAGGGTGACTGAATGTTTCTCGCACTCGATATTTCGCTCTTTGTCATTGACTGTGCGACTAAACTTTCTTGCAATTTTGCTTTGATGAATTTCCCGCCCTGGTATGATCGGCTTCCACATATTCGGTCTTCTCGCGTACGGCCCTTGAATATAGCTCCTGCTAATCGATCCAGGCCTAGCGGAGAGAGGATTCCTCGTAACCAGAGCTTGAATCCCCTACCAGGCTTTCCCAGTTCCCCAAGGAAATCTTCATGCATGGCCTCCACGAGCATGATCCCATCGATATCGCGGGTATGACGACTAGCAAATATACGACTATATATGCCGCCAACTCCGGTGGAAACCAGAACCCAGGGCCCTTCCTCGTCCGCAAGAGCAAGGGCTTCAGAGAGGGCATCGGCTGACATCCCCGCAGAATGAGGAGAGGGACTGTTCTCGGACCATGCGATCCCTGGACGATCCCAGTAGCAATACCGCGAGATAGACCCATGGTCGTAAGCGGCATCAACCCACTTTAGAAAGCTGTACTCAACAGGGTCCCCACCGCCTTCGACGAGGACGGTTGGAGTCGTACGGTTCCTTGAGCTAGACCTGTCGGAATGGGTCTCGCCTACACACGCGAGATGGACTTGATACTTGTCGTTGTCGACATAGTATTTCTTTCCTGGCGGAGGCAGGCTAGCATCTCTTGCGCGAAGAATTAACGTCGCCATGAGCAAAATAGCAATAAGGACGGTGATGGCCATGATGATCGTTTGAACGAGCACAGCCACCCATTCCCGAAGCGGTCTGCGGGTTTCTTCTCGTCCAGTCAGCCGCTCTTCTTCCTCGCGCTTACCCCAAGCAACAGATCGCGTCTGAGCAACCAGATAAAGGGATATAAGTGTCGCCCATGCTACAGACGCAATGCCAATCCATCCCTCTTCAACCCGGAGGCGTGGGACTCCGAGGATGATGAACAAATTTACTGCCAGGAACACTGACATCGACGCGCCCCATATTGTCATTGGCAGTGAAGGAACGGAAAAGAAAATCAATGCAATAAGAAGATTGCTGAGGGTCAATGTCGTGTAGGAGAAATCGGTGAAGCCAGAACCACGGCTATTCATCATCGGGGGGCTAACAAAGATAGAAACCAGTAATAGCACCCACCAGACAAGGGTTATCAAAAGGAATAGAATAGTTAACGACCGGAGAGCGCGAACACCCCACAGATTATAGGGGGAGACCTAAACACGCCGTTCACCTGGTCAATTGACTGATATGGACGTCATGGAGCCAATTGCTTACAGCCGGATCATCTGGACTCAAATATGCACCTCCTTGAGGCAACAGGCGCGTCCGTTCATCAGGTTCCCTTTCCTGATCCCGATTATCTCGAGTCTTTGGGCCCCGCTGGCTGCCTTCTCTCTCGTCTCTAGGAGCTTCTTCCGCCCTCTCCGCTTCGTCATTTCGTGGTGAACCCCAAATCGGGGACATGGTGCAGCGCTATGACATGAATTTCTTATAAAGGATAAGTTCAGAACTCGGCTACTGCCGATGAATTGAGCAGGCGGTCCCTTTTTATACAGGCCAATACCCAATACTAGAATTGAATTATCCCTGCAGCCCGATGTCCAATTCCTGTTCTGCGTTTTGGTGGCAATCATCTCATGACGTCATCCGTGGTTCAACCTCTTCACGTGACTTGGGGAAAGCCTTAGTCATCAATGGGGTAAGCTTAGTTTTTACCCCTCATACAGTACTGAATTTATTGTATTGTCCCAATCCCAAAAAGAGTTTAGTGTAAGAGCCCTGAATAGGCCTAGTGCAATGCTTAAGTTAAGGGGACGCCTAATGAGGCAACGGGAACCTCAAAGCAGGATGAAGCCGCAATGCCCTACATCTACTAGCAAAATCCGGCGGCGTTATTAGGCCAACGCAAAGGGTTCTGGATAGCTTACGGGACTTTCTATATAGCATTCCATCCCATTTCCTAGTATCAAATATTCGTTGTTGCGAAATCGTGGATTTAGTTGGTGGGGTTGGATTCCAAATTCGCCGTCGATGAGCGGTAACTAGATTACGTTACGTTTACTGCAAGGGGGGTCCCGCCGAATCTGATATCAGATTGCAATAAAGGCCACAACCTATAGATTTGGCGCGTATCTGGTAGTATGAGTCAATTGCGAAAATCCGTTGTCAAATCTCGATTGGCAAGACTGCCCCCCGACCATCCCATGCTTGACGAAGTCCAGGAACATGTGCTACAGGGCGCTGGAGGGCATGGTGAAGAGGATGATTCCTCCTCAGCATCATCGGCGTCGTCGACGGGCACTGTGCGGCCGTCTCCTAGCCAGAACCTATTTGCGAGGCCCAGTGGGTATGTCTTCCTCTCTTGAGCGCCCTGAATCCCGAGCGGATGGCGAGTTGTCACACTCCTATTATGCTTGTCTATTGGCCCAAGGCCAAAAGACAACATGGTACGAGGGACTGCCTTTCTCCTTAGAATGCATTATACCCCGATCGAAGATGTGAAATAGAAAGGTATCTAATCTTTCTCAATTTTAAAAGGACACAAGCAGGAAGAGGGGATCTCTCTTCCCTTCCGTGGACTGGCTTTTTCGAGAGAGAACTGTTTATCGAGGAAGATATTGGCGATCTGAACCTGATTCATCATGCTTATATCAGCCCGCCCACGGATTCTGGTCCGCTGTTTGTCACACATCACGGAGCAGGATCGTCGGGGCTATCATTCGCTGCTTGCGCGCAGGAAATCAGAAAGATATTGCCAACAGCGGGAGTTCTATCCTTGGATGCACGCAACCATGGATGTACTATTTCCAAGATTGGGACGCGGGTCGATGATTCCAATGAAGATAGCAAGGTTGAATTGGATTTGAGCCTTGAAACGCTGAGCCGTGATTTAGTGTATGTCATTAATCAAACAAAAGTGAAAATGAATTGGGATGTTATTCCACCTTTGGTTCTTGTTGGACACAGCCTTGGTGGCGCCGTAGTTACGGATGTCGCTAGGAATGGTGAACTTGGGTCTAACGTCCTCGCATATGCGGTGCTAGACGTTGTGGAAGGTTGGTACCGTTATACTATTCCCTTTACTTCGTAATATTAGTCCTTGGCCGCTGACCTTTGTCTTTTAGGCTCTGCTATGGATGCCCTTCAAAGCATGGAAACATACCTCTCAACTCGCCCATCTAGTTTTCCTTCCTTACTAGCTGGGATTACATGGCAGTATGTTCCTCCAAATCTTGCTTGTCACATCGTTTACTAAGTGTGACCGCTCCTTTCAACACTAGTCTGCGATCTCGAACCATCCGAAACACTACTTCGGCTCGCGTTTCTGTTCCAGGCCTGCTCCGCGAAGACCCTACAGATTCTACTCGCCCATGGAAATGGAGTACGGATCTAGAAGCTACAAAGCCCTTCTGGGAGAATTGGTTTATCGGCCTGAGTAAAAAGTTCCTTGAAGCCCAAGGAGGAAAATTACTTCTCCTGGCGGGAACTGACAGGCTGGATAAAGAATTGATGATTGGACAGATGCAAGGTATTGAGTGCCGTTCCCATTATCAACATGCGTTACAGGGTGAATTCGAGAAGACGAGCTGATAAAATCGTGGTAGGAAAATATCAATTACAAGTTTTCCCTGAAGCCGGACATTTCGTTCATGAGGATCAACCGAGCAAAACAGCTCAGATCCTGGTAGATTTCTACAAGCGGAACGATAGAAGCGCGCTTGTCTTTCCCCCTAAAGTTGGAGATATAATGGCTTCAAAGGCGATGGCCAATGGACTTGGAATGCCATGATCAAGAGACACTTGGTCGTATAAAGTAGACTGCTCTACGTGACCCCTTAAGGTTAGCTCGTACATCCAAGCTTACCGATGTGGAAAGGTGTGGATTATTAAAAATGATGCTGGTACTCCTTAATGTTTTTTAGTGGCATCTCGGCGGTGTACATACAGTACATACGGGGAATATGAAAATCTCTCCGCTAGGGCAAGTTACATAGACAATATTTGCCCGTAGCTACGCTAAATTGCTCTTCCAAAGCGCCAAGCATAAGAAACCGATGCCCTCCCCATGCTCCCATCACTTCCAATTCGCGCCCATAGCCCAGAAAACCCCATCCAAAGGTATCATACAGAGCAATAAAAATCCGTCTTCGAGAGCTAATAACTGTGGAGTCACGGCAAATAAGCACCACCAGCAATGACCAAGTTCATCCCGGTGAAATGGACCTTGTAAACCGGGCTTTTCTTCGTCGGAAAGGCGCTGATCTGGTCTGGAGTGACAACCACATCCTTGCCCTTCTTCTTTCCGCTGGCTGTCCCGACACCGGCTGCGGCTTGGGCAGCAGAAGATGCCGTCGTGTTCGCCGCGTCGATTTTGGCTCCCGTCCCCCCTTCGCCAATTATTTTCCCTTGGCTAGTGTTGGGGTCGGTAGCTGGCCCGGCGACATCCCAAACGCGAACGGTCCCATCCGCACCACCGGAAACGAGGACCGTGGACTCTGCGCTCCAAGATAGAGACCAGATACCACCCCTTCCATGACCGCGCATACGCTTCAGGAGTCTGCCCGGAGCCAAGTCCCAGAGGAAAATCGAGCCATGATCGTCAGCCGAAGCAAGAAGTTTACCATCTTTACTGCATGCAAGAGAGGTGATATTGCCAGTGTGCCCAGTAAACATGCGAACCGCATTACCAGTGGTAACGGCCCACATACGAACTGTTCTATCGGAGCTTCCAGTAAAAATGTATGCAGAATTGGGGTGGAAGCACACGCAGTCAACATCTTGGTCATGTCCAGCAAAAATTCGCTGTTGACGAATTCGATCAGTGACCCAAAGTCGTGCCGTCTTGTCATGTCCACCTGAAACGAAATAGTGACCGTAGGGACCCCAGGCTAGATCCCAAACAGGTTGGCCATGTCCCTTATACACAACCATGCACTGCCAAAGGTCGAGTGACCATAATCGAATGGTCTTGTCGCCTGAGGATGATAGAAGCCAACGTGTGTTTGTTTTGACTTCTGCATCATCAGAATTGGCAATTGCCGGTGCGAACGCAACTGCGTAAACCGGACCCGAATGGCCGTAGAGGCGACGGGAATTAGAGGGCTTAAAATCCTTATCTTCGAGTTCTGGATATGTAGGTTGTATTGGGGCACCGTCGACGCTCCAAACACGAATGTATGAGTCCTGCATACCTGCAGCAACAAGCATACTGTCCCCCGAAAAATCCAGGCAATTAATGCTATTTCTATATTAGCAAATAAGTTTTGTACTCTCAAGAGACTTGCGTACCCATCATATGTGTTGTGAAACGTGAACATGCAAACGCTAATCCCTGGGCCTATGCCTCCGGTGCGACCTTCGATATGAAACCTATCGCGGTTTTCTTTAACCTTTTGAACCTCCATTGCGACATCCCGGGCGAGTGATGCTGGATACGGGATGTCTGAACGTGATGGGGATTCGAGATCATCCTCCTTCTTGATCATCTGCTCGAAATGCTGAACAAGCGAGGGGCGTCCAGGAGGAGCAGGCTCCTTGTTATCTACCTCTTCAAGCTCTGCTCTCACGTCGCTCTCCAGCTCGGGTTCAAGAGGTAACTTTCCCAGCTTTAGGCGTGGAAGTGTGCCCGCCATTGCGGGATTGTCGCCGGTATATGCAGAACCGGGATGATGGCCAGGAATTCCTTCATCTTCAAGGGGTGGGCCGCCATCCATGTCATTTGCCCTGGCTAACATCGCCGCGAAGCTGAATCGCTCGTCAGAAGACCGCTCCTTGGTCACAATGGTGCAATAACTGCTGAGTAGCGCAGAGATCAAAGATCCGCCTTCCTTCCCTTTGCTTTCGAGATATTGCATGAGATTGGAAAAAGCAGGGTTGCTTAATGTGAGGCGATATTTATTTTCCCGATATATTTTAGCCACACTGTTAGTTTTCAGGTGTTCGGGAAGAGTAACCGGTCCAAGGGCGCGAATATCTTCACTATGGTCAGGGAGAAAAAAATCTTTATTCTCATCGAAAAACTGGCGCGCTTCCGTTGAGGCCAGAGTCGAGACGAGGCTGAGGTACGAGTAGACGAATAGTGGCCAAAGAATGCGTCGAAGCTCTGGCTGTAGGAATGGGTTAGAAGCGAACATTGCAGTGAGAACTTGATCCGCACCTTATAAATGTCTAGGTTGTTCTCGACCCAAGCCTTGATCATATCTAAGCCGCATTAGCATAAAGACCCTGTTGCTTGAACCCAAACAAATAATTTATGACATACCGAAAGCAGGGCGGAATCTTGCACGAGAATCATCCCCAACGGGTGGAAGAGGGCGTCCATCAATTTCTTGATTTGCGGACTCCATGCGGAGCATCATCTCCGTACGGTTATACCCTTTTTTCGCGAGGTAATCGATAACCTAGAGAAAGAAACCATTAGTGACAAATAACCACCAAAAAGCATAGACCGCAAGGGAAGTTAAAGCAAGCAAATTTGCAACCCAATTGGCATGATTCTGCCTGCAGCTTGCAAACCAATAGTGAATTCAAGGGAAAACAAAAAAACAAAAAGAAACGCCGTTCATGCAGTTATTTGATATGTTCGGCTAAAAGTGATATACAGGTATCACCCACATCACCTGTTGCATTGTTTGTCTTTGTATAGGATGGCACAGAAGGCCTATTAATTTCAAGGTGTCCCTCAAATGTCTTATTGATTTGCTCAGAGAAGCTGGGCTTTGCCCGCTGAGACTTGCGAGAAGAGCTACCCATAGTTATGGGAGGGAGATTGGATGAGGAGTGGATTAGAAGCAGGAGGAAAAGGCAAAGGAAAGAGGGTACAAACATATTGCACACAAACCCAGCAGCACGTGATATATATATAAACGGGCTTTTCCGTTCAGAGAAGCCCTTTCGTCTGAGGAACATAGCCAGGGGCAGCTTCGGAGGCTTTTCGGCTTATAAGTTGACCAAGAATGACACAAACATGAGGCTGAGGATATCAACAAAAGAGCACAGTAAGAAGCCTTGCATGAAATCTAAACAACAACGACAATCCAAAAAGGGAAAAAACCTTGGACTTAGAATATTGCAGTACTAGCACCATTCACAACTCATTTGACTTACAATCTGGTTCAAATTCTGTTGTGACATTACTGCTGGCGAGGAAGACGTAGCAGTGGGAGTGCCGCTGCTTGCAGGAGGAGCACTAGCCATCGGCTGCTGCTGGGTAGGCGTAGGCAGTGGGTTATTCGGCCCAATGCTCCCACTCCGGGGGCCAGGGCTGGGAGCTCCGCCTGGAGCTGACATGTTTAAGCACTCCTCGTAGAGGTAAAAAGTATGGTTCTGTAGAAGAGATGTGATAAGAATTGAGCCAAATGTCAAAAAATTCAGATTCACTCAAATTTGAACAGTTAACCTGTCTTCATCGTCAAGGGTATCATGGATTTTGGATGATGGCGTGAATCTATGAAGGGTCAAAGCTGATATCCATCTCTGCGCTGCTTAGTCAACCATCAGATCACATGACCTTTTAGCTTGACCGCACGACATTGAAGATAGCTCGGATGCTCTGATGCTCAACCTTTGTCAGGTGGTCTGGCGGCAGAACTTATGATCATGGAGTCGAAAGAACTTGACCATGCATTTAGCCCTGCTGAACGCATTGAGCAACTCAACGAAATCGACCAGGTAAATCCAGAGCTCCATTGTTCAATTTTTTGGATCATTGTTAACCTGATCTAGGATGTGATAAAGCTTCTCCGTGCTGCAGGTCTTGCAATCCAAGCCTTGACTAACACCCCTCTTCCAACTAATGACAACAAAGATCCTCAATCTCTTCAATCTCCTTCTGGAAAAGGCGCTTTAGCGGCGCATCAGGAAGCCTTCAAAGCGGCAGCCTCTCAATACTTCTCCCTTCTATCTTCAATTGACGTCCGTCTCCGCAGACAAGTTTACGCTCTCGAAGAAGCATCTATTATTCGCCCTGAATCCACAGTGAAGACAGGAGAAGGTGTTGGTACTACCGCTTTCAACCCCCTTGAAACTAGCTGGTTAAATACACGGAAAGACACTGTTGGGAAAGATAAGGAGGCGGAACTCTGGGCGCAGGCGAGAGACTATGTGAATGCATTGATATCTACGGGCGGCGAGGACTCTAGTGAAACAGAAGCTGGCGACGCACCATTGAAGCAAATGGAAATTGATTGAAACGTCAGCGATGCCGAAGTATTCCGCGACCCTTTCAAGGGGCAAAGCTTCCTCACACCTCCGGCCCAGAAACATAGAGCGTTTTGTGAAAATGGTCTAGGACCAACAGCATGAGTTCAAACTGGGTTTCTTGCACGATCCTTTGGACCCCCGGACGAAGTGCAGAATTTAGATATTTGAATGCAATCGAGGAGTCACCAGGGCGATTGGATTTGGTTCTAGGCTCGCAGCTTTTTACGGCCATGATGCTCTGGTTTGACTTATCTACATGGTGCCGGGAAGGCCATATTGGACAAGTTTAAGGACTTACTTTGGGTGTGATTTGAGACAACATCTGCGCTGCTATCTAAGCACTATCAAGCAGTTGTAAGGCTAAACCTGCAACCTTATGGCTTACTGGGAGAATGTATGCCCTGTGTAGGAAGACTGTTTACTGTATCTACAAGGACACCGTGTGTCTCAGCTGATGAGGCTCATAATTTCTCATTTCGGTCACAGGCCTGAACGCTATTTGGTCTATAGCTAATTATGAAACGCTATTCTATTCGGGGTGCTACTTCATCATTGAACTGATCATATTCCTGTGAGCAGACCGGTCCCGGTTCGTTTCAGATAATGGTTGTATACCTACAAAATCAAGAGATCAGCATTCTGTAAAAGGAAGCGGTGGTGCAAATAGGAAACTCACTTCGTAATTCAGAGACAACGTCCTTTGCTTTGCCGAAATAAACCTCCTCTGTAGATGCTGCGTCAGTACGGACCGCTGTATGAATGATGCAGGCTAAGGCGTTGACGTACGCAGTAAATTTCTCATTTTCAATTCCATATCCTCCACCAGCCGTCCAACATTCGCTACATGGCTCGCATCTCCTTCAATGGGCATATCCGCTTCGATTTGTCTGGTCATGTTCCCGCTAAGGTCCATGTCCCCCAGCACTTCCGAGCCGGTAGATAGATGTAGGATAACGGTACTCGTGAGCTTGTAGTGGCATGTACGTCCCCTATCCGTGGCTTCAAAGACATGGATACTATCCCAGCCCCCTGAGTTCTTCGAGCCAGGTGTGATTCCTAGTCCACGTCAGCAAACCCAGGCATAAAACGTATATGCACGCATTACATCCAAAAAGCGATAGACAAACCCTTTTTGAGCAGCACCACTCCCGCAAACCCATCATCGTCCAAATCCCAAAAGTATACACTCCCCACACCCCCCTCATAATACAACTCTCGATAAACATCAAATGCCTCGTTCGCCGCAACCTCCATCTTCCTCACCCTTTCACTTGGCACTGTGCCATCTTCAAGCGGCGGGTCAAATTCATTGCTCCACGGACTGCGGTAACTGTCTCCGTCTCGGTTGTAGTCGCAAAGGAGGTAGTCACGTTGTGAGCGGGCACAACGACGGATTTCAAGGGGCTGGTCGACGGAGGCGAGGAGGTCTTCTGTGAGGTCGGGGACGAGAGTGGTGATATATTGTAGATTGCGCTTCGTATCGCGTGGGGAAAGGCGGCGGAGGAGGTCTCTGCGGATTTCGATCTAGGTCAATGGATGTTTACAGAGCGGGGTTCACTGTTGCGGGACTGTTCGATTCCCTGCGGACAGAAAGCCGAGACGGGAGGTGGAAACTTACAAAGCGCTGTCAAATTGTGTATCCGCCATGATTGTCCGAGTGTGAGAGAATTGAGCAGATTACGGGTCGAAATGCGGGTTTGCTGATGCTTGCGAACGGCTGGTGGACGCGATGTCATTCTTTAGATGTGAGTGGAAACACCCAACAGTGCGTCGCCCCAAGAAGGTACGGTGTTCCAGCAGCCGGGAAGGGGATCTTTTCAATGTATTTAAATAATTTCTGATTCTATCCAACCTGCCATTGGGCTCTCCTTGTAGCTCTAGAACCTCATGAGAAGACAATATGCCAGATTTCTCTGAATTTACATATACAAAATTGCCCGGTTATCAACCCCAAAGAGCCAGCGCGAACAGATTTACAAAAACTTCCTACTCTTCCACATCGCTATCATCACTGACTGCATAGCGTTTTCTTCGCTGGGACGGCTTCGGGCTTGTGTTATCGGCTCCGCCGGGCCCAGAAACCTGGTTACTAGCTCCAGCCAAAAATGGGAATAACGTATCAAGATCTAATGAATGGTCGCTGTCATAATGTTCTGATTGGGAAGCCCGATTGGATTGAGGTTTGGGAATCGGTTCTACATCATCTTCGCGATCTGTAGAAAGATAGTCGAGATTCGGATCTTCCTCGTCAGGGTCACCTATCACGGCCCGGTATTGGTCCTCGCAATCTGAACCCAGATGTCCAAAGTTCTCAAACGTTTTGACCACCTGACGAGTGTATTTGCTGTGCTGTATATTTTTCGTGGGTCGAAGAGATCTTTGATATTCGGGATAGGCACCCATGCGAAGGCTTGGGGTATGTTTACCAACAATCTCCTGGAAGTCCAGGTCATTTGCCAACTCCTGGCTTTGGTTCGCGCATAGTTCGTTGAGGTCGGGAAACTCCTCGAGTTCAGGACTAGGCGTGCGCACAGCTGGCTTTGTTTTTGACCGGCCACTTGACTTTGTCTTCGTACGCCCCAGACGCGAAGCCTTTGTAAATCCCGTTTCAACACCGTCAGGCATGTGGAACTTCTTCGGTGGCCGCTTCGGGGCTCGAGCGCGTTTAGTGGGCTCGGGTAATCCTGATTGAGAGTTTTCGAGAGGGATGTCAATCACCTTCTCTTCAACTTCTTGATGGACGTCACGGGGGATTATGCGCGGCGATTTGTCGTCATGGAATGTAAACCTCGTCCCAGAGGCAATGAGCTGCTGCATTTTCTCATAGCTATCTTTTGCTTTGCAGTATGATTCCTCTTCCTTCCCCTTTGAAAGTAAAAGAATGATATTTCCCGCTCGTTTTCTCCCCGTTCGTCCCATTCTTTGCAACATTCGGATAGGAGACGAGTGGCCATCGTAGCAAATAATCAAATCAACTTCGCCAATATCCAGACCTTCCTCACCAATGGATGTCGCGACGATGGTATTGTAGGTGCCGGTTTTGAATTTCGAAACAACGTCTAATTGAGTCTTCTGATCCATCCCCTCCGATCCCTTAGCATTTGCCTGCCCGACGAAAACATGAGGGCGTATCATTGGTTGATGCTTCTTGAGAACTCGAACAATCTCTTCCGCACTATCGCGAAAGTGACTGAAAATCATGACACGGGTATCCGATTCCGCGGATTCGTTGATCTTGCTTCCAACATCCAAAAAGTGATTCAAAATAGCTTGCTTTAAATACTCCATTTTTGGATGCCCAATAAAATCTTCGCTACTTGTCCAAACTCGCAATTTACGCATCAGAGTCTTGAAATTTCCGTCTGAGACGATCTGAGAAGCGCATTTTCCACCTTTCTTTTCTTTTAACACCGAGTCTTCAAATGAAACTAGGCTCCTGAAGAATGGGCCGATACCATGATATTTCAGAAGGTCTATTGCATGCGCTAGACTGGCGAGCACGGTGAATATTGAGTTTATCATGCCTTTGACAGGCCAAGATGCGGCTCTCCCACCAGCAGAGGCATTCCACTCCTGTCGAGCTTTAGTAAGCCCAAACGGAGTGAGAGCTATCGGATCTCTTCCCCAATAGGCATTCTGGTTTCGGAGTTTGTCGACAGCGGGCTGTAACGCCTTGGCAAATAGTTCCATGGCCGTCTCCATTTCTCGCGAGTTATCAAAAGTTATAGTGTCGACATTTCGTTTGTGGATGAATTCCCGAATGTCGAGAGAGTTCTCAGTCCGTATTTCAATTCGAGATATGCTAAGCCCATCGATAACCTCCTGAACCGCTTCAACAGTTGCACCAGGGGTGGCAGTCAGCGCCAGCACTCTAAAACTATTGTTGAACCTTTGAAGAAACTTCACGATCTCGACATACGCGTACGCCCCGGTGGCACGATGCGCTTCGTCAACAACAAGGAGAACGATGCGTTTCGGATCGGCAATTCCCGTTTTGAGGTCGTTCATTATCGTTTGGGGCGTCATAAAGAATACGCGTTTTGACTGCCATTCTTCGGCCCTGATACCTGGGGCAGTATTCCCGGTCAGTAACGTTGTTTTGGAACGAGGTATTCCAACGATATGGAAACAGGCGTCAACCTGCTGTGATACGAGCGGCTTCGTTGGAGCAACAAATACAATCTGAGCATCTTTTGTCCAATTGAACCAATTTAACATGACTGTGGCAGCAATAAACGTTTTGCCCAAGCCAGTAGGTAAGGCAACAAGCAGATTATGGAATAGTGCTCTATGAGCTATGTTGAACTGGTATTCTCTTTTACTGCCTAGGTTCCCTGGGAAAATCCAACGCCGCAGGGCGTGATTATTCAACAGATGATGAGTCGGCGGTTCGGATCGGTTCGCCAATGGCCAGCTACGCACCGCGGGTTGGGATGACGACTTATTGCTACTATTAGCAAATCCGCCAAGTAGTGTAGTCTGTCGGAAACTGGTGTTTTGCGAGCGAGACAAGTTCTGCGACGGCCGAGGTTGAGATGAAATCAAAATCGACCCGTTGCCTGTAGGTTTCGCGTACTCGGGCTCGAAGTCGAAGGCATCGTCTGGAATATCATCAAAGTCATATACAGATTCCGTTTTGGCAGTAGACACAGGATCAGAAACAGCAAGACCATGATTGATATCGGGCGTCCCCAACGGCTCCTCAGCCAGACTCGTTGCTCCTCGAGCGGTTTGTTCTTCCTCGAATGACCGAAGCGACGCGGCAATAGCGGCCTTGACATCTCCGCCCTCAATCGCATCTGTGTCTTTTCCTGCAGTGGTTTGCAATGTAGCGGCCGGCCTTGCGCTCGAAAACGAACAGGGCTTTGCGCGCTCTGGCGCTTTCCAACGGGGACCACGAAGTTTTGATGGGCTCGAGGCGGGTTGCGTCTGGCTCACGAACAAGGGCTCTTGATCAACACTGTACTGAGGCGTGTACGTCTTCGACTTGCGCGCAGTGGCCTTTCCAGAAATACCGTTGCCATTTGCTTTCGGGTATGGGGGCAAAGAAGGATTGAAAAAACTGGAATCCGTGTCTGACTCCGGGTCGTTCTCGATGTTCTTTTGTTGGGTTTCCGTATCGAGCGCGCTGACGCGGCGACGTTTCGCTGGTCGCTGTGTTTCGAGGGCCGATGCATCAACGTGGTTAAAGAGTTCATCATCGTACGCAAAATCGCTCAACCCATAGCTGTCGGACATTTTTATCGCACGTTAGCTGGGCCATAACAGAGCGACAACCTCACTAGTTGCCCATAGTTAATTGCGCGCCATCCTGCACCCGATATGATGCTCTGTTGAACCGTTCCCCGTCGCGTCGCGGTTCGAAGCCGCGCAGTCAGGTGACCCTAGCGGTTCGGGCAAATTACATCATCAAGCGTCGTTACATAATCCCCGTTTTCGTCCAATCTCGACGGATCTCGCGAAATCAAACGGTTCGAATTCAGCAGAAATTGCTTTTCTTTGCCCCTGAATGAAGGCGTTTCGGACACAGAGGTCAGGCACCGAGCAAAGTTCGTCAAGAGAAACGGCCATGAATGCCCAAAACACCTAGGATAAAACCGGTCGAAACCCTCGTCTTTGACCCTTTCCTGTCAGAGCACGAATTCCTGTTTTGACGTTGCAGTCTGCATGCCTCATCGCCTGGAGAAGGGTCGGCCACCGGCACCAAAGGCTATTAATTTCGACATCGAACTTATTTTAGTGATGGCTTCGTCGCCAAGCCAGCTGCTCCACCCCGGACGGCAGGGATTGCGCTGAAACCAGTGCAGTTGACCCCCGGTGTTGAAGGGCCTCGTGAACCAAACAAAACGGCTGTGACGGGCGAATAGAGGAGCCCGGGATGGAGTTCTGCTCTTTTGGATTGTGTCATGGCGTGAATCTCCGAGACAACATCCACATTGTTGCGAGGATTTGGGCCCCCTCCATCTCGCTGACGGCCAGCTGTCGAAAGGGGTGTGAATCTTTAGCGATGGGCATCAACGCCACCGCCCCGTAGCCAATGAACCAGTGTGCCCAGGGCCGCTGTAAAATGAGCACTATGCCAGAAGAATCAGTCACCTCGAGATCAGCATCGCCTGGCCAATAATCCACAGCTGAAACTTCTGCCCGTAGCGTGAATAAAAGGGTCCAGTTTTTCCCCAGAGTTCGATCTCTTTCCGACCTTTGTTTGATGATAATTCCCACCAGATCTGAACATTTTTTTCTCTCTTTCAACACTCGTTAATACTGCTGTCATTCCTCTTGGAATCACAAGTCCATTCGTTTTAAGATAAACAATCGTTTTCCACCGCCTATCAACCATTTAATCATAATCCATTCGGATTTTCTTGCTCTAATCCACAATGAAGTTCTCCGGTGTTATTGCTCTATCTCTCATTGCCGTGGCCTCTGCCCAGAGCGAGGCTCCCTCCACGACTGTTGAGCTCTCCCCAGTTGCCAGCTGTGCCGCCCAATGTATGTCAACGCGCACAGTCGCATCGAAAACACCATGTTGCTGAAGCTGGACTGACTCAAAGTCTCTAGGTCCTGACACGGATCTCTGCTGCCAGGCAGCTTGCGCCGGCGTCCCATGCCCTGACCACTCGGGTGCCATCAAAACCAACGAATGCTCTGCGAAATGCGAACAGGGCGATGGCAGCCCAGGTCAGACCGAAGCCTTTGCTCGTTGCCAGGCTGCCTGCGTCAAGAGCTTCTTCTTGACCTACAGCGCCGCCCCTGCTGCCACTCAGCCCGGCTCTCCTTCCAACAGCGCTGTTCCAACTGGCGACTCTACTGACGCCCCAACTCGTGAGTAGCTTTGCAGGATTCTCGCTCATTCATGAGCACCTATCCCGTGCAAATACTAATTGCTTGACCTCTTAGGCTCTGGCTCCGAGCCAACCGGCACCTCGACTCCCACTGGTGATGCCTCCAGCACCACCACCCCGAACGCTGCTGCCCCCTTGTCCGGCTCCTCTGCTGCAACATTCCTCGGCTTGGTCCTTGCCGCCTTTGCTCTCTAAACGACTACAATCATGCCTCTGCTCAACCAAAGCGATGACAATGAACGCTGATGCTGGTTGGGGCCGTTTTGGTGTTGGAATGTGTGTATGGTCTGTTTATAGTAGCTTCTTTGTCACCTTTAACACCTTAATTATGCAACATTAATTCCGTGTTGCTCTTTTTGTCCGCTCTGAATTCGTATATATCTGTGCGTAACCTTTATCCGGTTAGCGATACTTGACTGGTCGTCTAATATACTGCTTGTCTGTGAATGGTTCAAACGATCAGAACACTGGCTCGTAATCAACCCGTGCCGGTAGCAAGGATCCTCGAGTATTTTGTCCAGCGACGCGATGTCTGAAAAAGTAGCGTAGATATCCATTGATGCACTTCTAATCCTCTCATGGCAAGCTTAATTGTCGAGCAAATAAGCCAGGGGCGGTCGAACATACTTCGAGTCGAAGTCAAACGTGAAATCTAGAGAGTTTCGCGGTAACAGGAACGCGCCGTCCTGAAGTAACTTAAGCTCCTGAGTATCTCATAGAATTTGAACATCAATGGAGCTTGGAAGGTATGTAGATAGTGTCGATGGCTGCATCCTAGAAATGGGGTCTTCCTAGCGGCTATCCGGCATCTCGGTTGTCCTCAAAACTGCTTGGACCATATAAAAGCCATCCACAGTTGGCTTCAGAGCTATGTAGTTAGTTAGCTCTCTGGAAACTTTGGTCTAGGGAGAACCATTGCTTCAAAACCACGATTAGCAGTAGTTAACGAACCGAGTGATGAAACCCTCCATTATCCGCAACGTTTGCTTCCCGCCATCAAGCCGTGGTATATCATGGAAGGCGAAAAACAGCGAATGCTGAAAGGCGCTGCAAACCTCCATACCGGAAAAATGGATTTATTGAATACCATCAAATACCATTCATCTATCTGATACATCGCTTCCATGCCAAGAACATAGAACCCATGTTACAACAGATGGCAAACAACATCCCAAATTCTCTGACCACACCTCTGTTAAATCTCTTGATTCAGAAACCTCCCTCTCTAGTAGTCTTTACAGTCTACTACGCCAGCCATGCCGATTGAAAATACACATGATACCGGAGAACAACGTTCCAGCCCGCCAGCGGTTGGCACAACATTGATGACAATCCCCAATGAAATCCTTGAGAAGATTTTTATAAAGATTGCCTTAGATGCTGCCGCGGTTTGGTCGCACATCTTTCTTCCTTTCAATACCAACCCCAAGGGCATCCTGACGCTCATGCTGGTATGCCAAAAGTGGCACAGGATCGCCGAACCCATACTTTACCGCCGGCAACAATACATTGCCAAACCTCCAATCACTTCAGAGCATGCGGGGAGTTTGCTCCATCTCCTGGATCGAAAGCCGTATCTGGCAGGTTATATTCGAGAACTCTCCATTGACGCCCGGCCGGACAACTTCGATGAGGCCGTGCTGAAGATTTTGCATCATTGCAAAAGGCTCACACTTCTACACCTTGATGGGCAGCTCTCCGCCCCTCCGAGCGCAGTTCCAGCGGCGATCCAAAGTCTTCCTCTAAAATCCCTTTCCATCACGACGGTGGAATCCAGTCTGTTGAGAGACGGGTTCTTCAATTTCCTCCTCGGTCTACGATACTTGGAAAATCTGAAAATCGGCGATTGGGCCTCGCCATACCCAACTACAGATTTGAAGCGGCTCCCAGCAGATTTTCGAAGACAGAGCAACATCAAAACTTTACAACTCAAAGAACCGAATACCTACCCCACGCTCACGGAAGACTGTCTTGCTTTGTCAGCTGCTCTAGAAGAGGTTATACTTACAGGTTTTGAGTTTTCAAGGTCCAGTTGGTATTACTCCTCTGATCAAATTCAAGCATTGCTTCTGCCCCATTGTGATTCTCTCCGGCGAGTTGAGCTTTCAAGCATACTAAAGGGGGATTCAACTCCCTGTCCTTTGCCAGACTTCAGCGTCTTCCCCCGTCTCGAACAACTTTCCCTTTGTCCTTATCACGTTTTCTATCATGAGAAGCCAACTGATCTGTATCGCAAGCTGGCTGCTCCAAATCTTCAACTGCTTATTCTTCATTTTCACCCTGAATCAACTCATTATGTAGGTGCTGATGTATTTGGTGAAGCGCAGATTGACTGGCTAGAAGAATTTGCTTCAGTTCATTCTCAGACTTGTCTGGCTGCAAATTTCCGTGAATTGCACATTATCTTTTTTCCTTCTGTTGAAGATTCAGAGGATCTCAGCTGGCCATGGGACCGTCTGGACAGGGCAGCTGAGATTGTTTCCAGGCATGGGATAAAACTAATTTATTCTGAACCACCTACCAGCAGGGCAGAATGGGAGACTGAGGCTGAGGCTATGGCTAAGGTTTTGAAGGAGGGAGCAGCCAGGAGAAAGCTCAGAGAACAACAGAGGGAGTAAGAAATGCATAATCACTTTAACTGTGCAGAGCAATTAAATTATAATATAATCCTCATTGATTTGTTGATGTGATGACTAGCGATTGCTTGCTTCCATTCCTTTCATTCAGAGAGTGATACACTTAATAGCCCCAAAACAGAGGTTATTTGGCAGTATATCTCAAACAAGAGATTTTGGGGGGGGGGCAATGGAGAAAAGAAGTAGAAAGACAGTGACCACCAAGGAGCACTGCCTCTTTACTATAGGATGATTCATAGACCCAACTTGTTGGATTAGGTTGGAAGTTGGCCACATTAAATATTGCAAACTCAAGTGTATCTCTAGAAGAATTCTCTGCTCTTTATTTGAAACAATCAGAACTAAATACACCCACCAGTCTAACAACTGAAAACAAATCAACAAGGGGTTGTCTCAAGTCGGCCCTATTCTTCACAACATCCTCCCCCAATACTCACAGGGCTGACAGACTTCACGTCCACTCAGTTACGAGACTGCCGACACCCAGTGCACTAAGCATAGTATAGCAAGTAATGGGATTGTTTGGCGTTTGCAGACTACATGGTCGCACGATGCCCACAGGCCCATCATTGAAATAACCATACACAGCCATGTAGGAAGAACCCCGATAGGGCTGGTTACCCCTGGCACCCCACCTAGCCAGGACACTCGGGTGCTTTCCAACAAACTCTTCCAGAGTGTACAAAGCCGAGTCTTCCGAGTGCAAATGCCTGATTTCTGTCCTCGGATACGATGCAGCCTTCCAGTGAGGTGCAATGGTGGCTGCGATGGGCGAAATCATATCTTCACCACGGAAATTTCCCATCGGAGGCTTTGTGCCGAAATAAAAACCGATATCCGGAACATATACAACCGCCACTAGAAATGAGGGGGGTTTGAAATCCGGAAAGCTGTTTCTAATATAATCGTAGGCTTGTTTGGCAAAGTGGTTGGATTGTGCTATGATCGCTGAGCGGTCATGCCTTTGATTGTCGGGTAGAAGGTACGGAGTATCGTCGAAATTGGGTTTGCCGAAATGTCCCCAGAAGGCATTCGGTCTGTCTTTGTGCTCCCAACGAAGCTTTACGTGTCCATTCACAACTCGTCGTTGAAGTGCCGTGGGGGACCTTTCTACCACGGTAGAAGAATCGTCGGGCTTATCATCCAGCGGCAGGCCCGAGAGGAAGGGGCTGTTAAGGAGGAGTAAGGTAAGAATGGATCCCAAATGCAATTTCATGGTGCCGGTATTAGGTAGATAGACCTGAATATATGGTAAAGTAAGAGTAGGAGTAAGTGAGCCACCAGATTAGTTTCGCAGTGAGTAGAGAATGGTGATTAAAACAAACATGAGAAAAGGGGCATTGGACATGATCTTTATAGACATTGCCATAGGGTATAGAATGAATACTCTGATGAGAACCAACAGAGCTGTATCGATCAATCTGCCATCATGGCCAATGGCGGAAGAATTTCATTGATTAACTGTTTACTTGTTGGATAAACCACAGCCAGGAGAATACAAACTGTCAAGGCCAGTTTCACGGCTCAGAAGAATTACCTATTTTGGTTGTTTTCTAGAGGGCTTGGTGTTGGCAAAAGCTGTGTGCTGTTTCTCATATAGTTCTAACCTAAGCCTCACAGTTATATTGCCCTCGATCTAACCTAAGCTCACAGTTATATCGCCCTCTGTCAAACCTAAGCCTCATAGTTATATTGCCCTCTGTTTCACACAGATAGTTATCAACTGAACATCAGATATTTTTATCAGATCGGTAATGGTCTGAGCTCTACAATATGGGGACAACTGTGGTCCTGTCAACAAAAAACAATCACAAAGATAAGTGCATACACACCATTAGTCCCTGAGTAATTGCAGTTTAACCATTGATCATCTCAGACATCAACCCAAGTGGCTAACACCAATTGGTTCAGCAACCCTTAGTTGACAAATTCACAAGCAATCCCACAGCCCTCATTTCTACCAACCTGCACTTCCAACTTCGGAGCAGCTTTGCAGTTGCGGCTTGTGGACACACTGTGTTTCAAGGGAAGCTCACGTCTGGGATAGAATGCGGCCGGACATACCATTTCTGATGGCATCCTTCGATTTTGGGTCGGAGGCGTAGGTGTCCAGTTCGAAGTAGGAGCGCAGAATGAAATATAAATACCTATCTGAAGGCCGCTATCGTAGTGATAATGAATATCCAAAATCACCAAGAATCCAAATATCCCCTAAAGGCATTCAATACTCGGTTCCAATCAAATATTTTTCTTCAGAAGCTCTACCATTCCCAAAAATGGTTCATGTCAACTTCTCCGTCCTAAGCTCGGCAACTATCGCCGCCATTTTGGCGACCGCATCCGTTCACGCCAATCCGATTTCTGGCACTGCACTGGCTCTCCGCAGCGCCAAACCTCTAAGCGATGCGGCCTTTATCAAGTGCATGCAGCAGCAGAACCCTAATTGGGCCTGACGAGGATACCCGATGATCCCACGCCCATCAAAGCGTGCGGCGGCGAAGAGATACTCAAGCGCGATACCAATGGCACTGTGCCTCCAAGCCAGGCGGCCTTTATTAGGTGCATGCAGCAGAAGAACCCCAATTGGCCTGACGAGGATACCGATGATCCCACGGCCATCAAAGCGTGCGGCGGCGAAGAAATACTCAAGCGCGATACCAATGGCACCGTGCCCCCAAGTAAGGCGGCGTTTATCAAGTGCATGCAGCGGAAGAACCCTAATTGGCCTGATGAGAACCCTGATGATCCCATGGCCTTCAAAGCATGTGGTGGCGAGGGGCTGCACAAGCGAGATGTCGATACTGACTCGATCGCACCTCCCAACGAATTAGCGCTCCGAGCCATTCCTCCAACCAAATTGGCTGAATCCGCCTTTATGAAGTGTATGAGAAAGAAGCACCCCAAGTTTCCAAAAGTGAAAGTCACAAACTCGGCGGACATTCTGGCATGTACCGGCCAGGGACAAACAAGGCGGGCTGTGGATGTCGACCTGGCTTCTCGCGGCCTCTTTGGTACACTCACAAACGTTTTGGGAAAAGTTCTTCAATACGATTCAAAATGCGACAAGAACGACAAAAACCAATTTCCGATTCCAAAATACTTCCAGGAAGCGGGCCCCTTCCGTGGGGACGCCAAAGAGTGGTGTGATAAGATGAAAAAAGATGTCCTCAAGCATGGTGCAACCACAGTCAGAGAGACTATCCCGGACGCTGTCACCAAAAACGCTTCATGGCTCCGCCACAACCAAAAGGCCATACTCACAATGGCACTTGCTATTACGCCCCAGGGGAGAGCGATCCTTAAAGCTGCGAAGGAAGCAGACAAGGCTTATGACAAGTGGTGTCATTTGGCAATCCAAACGTTTGGTACCAAGGACAAAGGATGCACTGCAGAGCTCGGGTATTTCAAGAAGAAGTTCCTCTTCTTCCCCATCAACGGTGCCACCACCACAGCAATCACTGATGGCTACATGGAGATTGAGGAGAAAGGTAGTGTGCTGGCAACCCTGGCAGTGGACTTTGAAAATGCAAAATAAGATATGTGATATTTGCCTGAATGTTGTTTGCTGGCATTTTGTTGCTTCCTGTGCCAGATGACTCAGCTTGTGGTGTTTGATGTTCAAATGTGTCTCTTGCTTGAGAAGAACGAGGATTTCAGCTTTAACCATTGTATTATTAGTTAGTTACTCATGTTTTGTTAAGTTAGGTAGTACAATTTCTTTTGTAGCAGGGATAATAATTGCTTTTCACAGAGATTTTTGCACAATTCTACATGATTCCGTTCTTGATGAGATTAACTATATAACTTATGGCTTGACTGCCGTCATGTGACATGGCGCTTGACCAAGTCTCTCCTTCATGGGCAAAAACACCCGCTTCGGCTCAATCAGACATACTGGACAAAGATGGGCTCAGGGACTTGTTTCTGGGTTGGAACCACATAGAACTCTGGCCCAATGACTCGATACTTATCGAGTTGTTGGCTAAGGTCTTCAGCACAACTCACAACCCGGCCGTCATAGGTAGCTAATCTCAAGCTCCGGGAGTACAGCACCGCCAGCACCGCGGACCACCCTCAAGGCTGCACTGCGCCCCCAAAAGTGAAGACGAGGGTCTCCAATGCCACCCTCATATCGCGCATGGAAACATTCGTAACCAAACAAATGCAGCACTACGACCCGTCCCACAATCCAGCCCACGTCGCCCGCGTCGTTCGCCTCGCCCACCGTCTCCTCGCAGCCGAGCGCGCCCGGGGTTCCAGAATAACCTACAACGAGACTATAATAACCCTGGCCGCGCTTCTCCATGACATCGGAGACAGGAAATACCTTGTGCCAGGCAGTACGCAAGACCCTGCCACCATGGTCCGGGACGCATTGCTGAACAGTGGCTGTGACCCAACACTAGCCGAGCGGGCGCAAACGGTCGTTTCAAACGTCGCATATAGCAAGGAGGTCAAAAACCCCAACATCGTCGCGCGCCTTATCGCCGAAGATGGGTTCCCGGAGCTCGCTATCGTGCAGGACGCTGATCGTCTGGATGCGATTGGCGCCGTGGGAATCGGGCGATGCTTTACGTATCTGGGCGCCAAAGGGCCCCAGCTTGCTGCTGACGGGCTCTTGCGGTGGGAGCTCGATGACGCGGTTGGCATTTTTAGGACGAAATTGGTGAATTTGGAACTGATGATGAAGACTGACTCTGGCCGCGATATGGCCCGTAAGAGATCACTCAAATTACGGGAATTCATACGCTGGTGGGAAGAAGAGAAGGATGAAATCAAGGACCAAGGGGCCTAGCATATAAAGCAGGCTGAACGGCCTTGCTGATCTAAATGACACTTCAATTGATACCCCACCAAGCCGCTTGAGATACGGGCTATCAGCTTTCGAGCAAACTCTCACGCACATTCTCTCCCCTATCCAAATCATCAATTCGCCAAGATTATTTATATCAAGATAAAGAATAAAACAAAATTCAAGAATCCAAAAGCCAAACCGGCCCAGCCACAAATCTGTGTTCCAAAAACGTGATAACACTAGTCATGTAGAGCAAAGAGAACCGTTGGTTCAAGACGATGAGTAGTGGAAAATCTGCGTGGCTCTCGAGAGTCTCAAAAAAAAATTGTAGGATAACAAATAGTTGCACTAAACCGGCAGTGCATGTGGAGGTTTAGCCATCGCCCAATATTACAAATTCCATCCCGTCCCACGAATCCAGTAAATATCGGCGGAAAAGTTCGATAGGAGTAGCAACATAACCCCTGCGCCAATTCTAAAGTAAACCCCATGAGAGAACGCATGGTATAAATAATCAATAGAAAGATACTAACACCTAACACCGATGGAGATCAAAACGCAAGTCCAAGTGAAGGCTGTAGGCTTCGATAAGATATGGATTAAATATAGGTCGGTCAGACCCGATCACTGGCAAAGTCAAGGATATCGCAGTCGTCTTCAAAAAACCCATCGTCGTCAACCCCTCCAGTACCGGCAGCGTTCTCAGATACTGTTCTCTTCTTTCGCCTGGTGGTGATCACAGCATATTCAACGTTTTCACCACCGCTGCCCAGGCTAATCAAGTTTTCCATCTCACCGTCACCGGTATTATGCGTATCTGCGGGGGTATCGTCTCTATACGAGGATCCACGAATTTGCAGTTTCACTGAGGGTATCGCATCACCAAATACCCATGGATCAGTGGCACTGCTGTCATCGTAAACTCCAGAGAAAATCATCAAATTCACTCGACGATCAGTATGGAACGGTTGATAGGGTGCATTCGTCTCAATTTCTGCTTGAGAGAGCGGCGGGGAGGTGATGTTTCCAGCAGGAGGTGGGTGCGTGAATGACGGGAGTGACCAAAAACCACTGGTAGTAGCGCTTGTCATTGTTAGAAGCGCTTGGCTAGGTCCGACAGGAAGACGTAGGCTTGCGGGGAGGCGAAGTTCCCGTATCTTCGCACCAAATACCGACTGATCTATTTTTTTCTTTCCCGCTGATCCACGTCGGACTTGATATACCTTGAAAGATTCGCCATCGATGATACCCAAAAATGGTTCCTTTTCATTTCCAAGCCATTCTATACGGGAAACACTGCCGTCTTTTGTTAACCTGCTAAGATGCAACCGATTTTCACCAAAATGCCGGAGAGCATTCATAGTTTCGGTTGCAGCACCCACGGATTTGCTTAAGCCAGACGCTATGACTTTACCACCTCGAGAAGACAAGCCGAATCCTGCACCTGCACCAAACGCGGCCCCAACGCTAGGGGCACGCCCTCGAAGAGCAGCCATGAACGGTTGAGTAGTGCCACCTATCGCTTTGACAGCAGTAGAAAACGGATTTAGATTTCCGGAATTCATTTCATTCAAATCTTCTCTTGACAGGTATTCAGCATGACCCTGCTGAGGAGATGATTGGCGCGGAACGCGACGTAAGGGGGGCCATTGAAAAGCACTTCGCGGAATATCGTATAGGTGTATTGTGCCATTTTTTGTGACAACAGCTAGGCGTTCTCCAGTAGGGCTCGTCCATCTAACATCAAGGATGCTCGTTTTTGTTAAGCGATCAAATTTCGCTATCTCCCGGACTTGTGCGTGGGGAACTGCGGATGAAATATCCTCCAATACCAATGATCTTGCTCTGCAGTGCCGCATTTGCATAAGGTCCCAAACTTGCTGAATATCACCATTTTTACTGGCAGTTAAAAGCATGAGGCCACTGGGTGACAGGGAAATAAAGCTGCATCCATTAGGTGGTTGGAAAGTCGCTACTGAACTGATTGTTGAAGTCTTTGTGCCTTCACTCTCTTCAAGCCGCTTCAAGTCGATGATGGATACCAAATCGGGCTCACTGTTCGATGGTTGTTGTGGTTCTTGGGCGTGGGTCGGCGGAAGGAGGTTTACGTTAGGCGGTTCAAAGGGAGGCGCTCGCCGTGATGTGGCGGTTTGACTCGGCTGCGCATCTTTGTTAAAATAACTATTCCACGTCTGAGCAACTTGTCCACCTGTCCAGGCGGCACCTCTAATTAATTCCTGCGTCACCCCTTTCGTAATCTTGTTGAAAAGACCTTCCTGATTGCAATCCACCGTACAAGTCACAGACGGACGAGACGGTGGATTATGGGCATCTATCTCGTAGAGCCTCTTTTGGCTCACCTGGCAACCAACAGTGCCGCGAAGCGAGGTTCTGGTTGAGGGCGGAGGGACTACAGCGAGCCAGCGGCCACTCATAGTCAAAATGGGCATGTCTGTTGAGAATGTTTCGCGCCCATGTTCGGATTGTATATCGTCCGCATTAGTAGAGTTGGATGAACTTGAATGCCTTCGGGAATCCCGGTTCCGAATATTGGTCCACGTTTTTCCTAGACAGCGATAGGAATCTGATGTTCGGTTCCCGCCAGTGCCAAAAATAAAGACCTCTCCACTGGTACCAGAAGCAAGGACGATATAATCTCCACTAGAATATAATTTCAAGTCCCCCCCAGCTGGGGGTACAGACGGAGATGCCCCAGGAAATGCAGTGTAGCAAGGCTCGGGTCTAGTCGCAAAGAGTGTTGCTACTAGACATTGCGTTTTAAGCGAATAGACTTGCACACGAGTTTGCATACGAGGTAGGTCCGTATGGTTAGAATGCGCATCCAACCTATGCGAAACGCTTGGGGCCGCCGAATCGGTGTTGTCTGATGCCGTGGAAGAGCTACGCCCGTTGTCATCCTGAGACACAGGGCCAAATATTGTCACTCCAACGAGCGGTCGAGAGGAGAAGAATGGGTCGGTCCCAGAGGTCCAAGTCAAGATCTTGGCGTTTAGAACTCTTCCATTCAACCCTTTGACGGCCCCAAGCACTCGGGCCTGTTCGTTCTCCAGGGCTAGAACTTCTAGCATACCATCTCTTCCGATTAAAACGACTTTCTTTCCAGGAAGACGTGGTTTATGCGATGGGAGTATGTCAAGAGCACTAAAAGAACAACCCTGCTCTTGAGTTGTTGCCATTATCGGAGAAGCAACACCAGGTATATTCACATCAGGAGCCGAGTAGAAGTGAGCCTGAGGAAGATGAGGTAGCGGAGGATATTGCTGTTGTTGGGTGCTCATAGAGTTCCGTTTCTGCCGATCCTCAAATCGATGTCTTAAAGAGCTGGAGAAGTCCGTTTCCATACTAATAGGTCGTGGTTTGCTAGTTGGAGGGGAAACCGACATGGCGGCTTGCTGGAAACCCCCTCTGTCCGCCGGCAGACTGAAATTTGGAGAACATCCAACATTTCCTCCGCCTGACGCCTCTTGCGGAGGACTTTTGCCAAAAGGGATCGACCTAGCCCATGTATCCGTGCGGAAGGTAATGTCGTGGTCCTCCGATGGGGATAACGTGCTGAGAGCATCCAATACCGGTGAGTCAGGATCACTAACCATGTTTTGCGGCGTGAGTAGGGTCGAAGCAGGCTCGAAAAGTTGTTCTATGGGCTGGGAGGCCTCTCTATCCAAAGAAGCAGGTTAGCTTGGCGCAACGGTCCGGGTGGTAGATAGATGTGGCATCCGCCCCTTCCATGGGTCAACATGAACTTACAAGTCTTCAAGAAGGGTCTGCTTTTCGGCTTTGGCCGTCTTAATATCTCTTCGCGCGGCATTCTTCTTTTTCTTGCTATGTGCCACCTCGCCGGTAACTGACTGAGGAGACGATACGCGTTTCACTGTCGATTTCGAAGCCTGTTGACGAGCTGGGCTTGACGTAGGGGGCATGCAAAACACAACACACGGTGTTGCCGGAGAAATAAAAGACCCCTTAGAGGGTGTTGAGCGCTTGGGCAGAGTAAACTCCTACTGATTTCGGATCTTTCGACTGCACTCTTCAAAAAAGGCCAAGATCCCAAGTCAGCTTCTCAGCTCCCCTGGTGTATCTGAGCTCAGTACCTACCCTTCCAACTTAGCTAGCGAGTAGGAGAGGCTTGGTGACGGTCAAGGCTTCCGTTGTTGAGCATATATTCTCTGGCAGGAAACAACTCGAGCAGCGTATGGACGATGAACAATAGTACTAGCTAACAGGAAGATGCTTCTTCGGGGAATGTCGAGGGGGAGGGGAGATCACGACGTCCTCGTTCTTACTTAATGCGTTACCCCGTAATTCCAACGAATGACTCCAGCCGAAAGGCAGGTGGCCAAGCCGGATGAGCCAGTCAGCAACGCAGTCATAGCGCATCTTCCGCATCATTGTTACCGGCTGTGACCATACGTGACCACTGACGTTGGATGAGGGGCACCGACGTCATGCAAACAGTGCAAATACTCAGGAACACGCGCGCCAAGATCGCCCCCGGTCCCACTTCTGCTTATGTAACTCGGTCGCGTCCGGCGCGGCCATGTGACGCATCAAGTCTAGATGCAACCACGTCAACGCCCATTCACGCTTGGTATGGGAGTGAAGGTTTGTATCATTCCCCAAGGTCGACGGAGCAAGGACGCTAGTTCCGGAACGTTTCAACCGGCTCTTTTCTGGAGCTTGTCGTGGATGTAGCGCATCCTCTTCTTCTCAACGGTTGTTTGATACTTCCTCCTTGCATCCAAACAAACACGGATTGTTCGCGAGAAATTGATTGTGATATCGAGAGCATATTGCGCATTACTATGAAACCAATCAAATACTCAGACTCTTTAGATGCAGGGCCAGGCTCCTTGATACATTCAATCCCTTGCATCAGCTCTGGGCGGGTTTACCATCATATTTATTAGTGCTATAAAGTTTTGGAATATGTGTCCATCCTTGGAAGCTTGCCCATGGTGTTCTACAGACATGTCCCCGATTGATACCCCACGGAATCCCCGTAACCTGTTCTTGAGAGCGACTATCCATTTTCGATCCGCAAATACGCGCTTTTTTGTTACACAGTCGACCTTCGATTGAATAGGCCTATGGCCTTGTTTCAACCGGGAATAATTGGAGGATCACACCACTAGGAGAAACACAGACGGAATGGTCTCCGAGAGGCGATGATAATTAGACTGTGGATTTCACCTCTATCAGTGTGTGATGTCCAAATCGAATGCATACAACCGGCCGCACTAGCATGTATCTTGCAGTAGCAGGTCCCTCTTTTAAGAGCATGCATACTCTTGGTGGACTAGGAATCGAGAAATCTATTGAACGGACAAATATGGCATGTGGCACTCGAGGCATGAATACACTAGTCTCATGTTGGTAATTTGATAGCTTAGTTTGACAAGAATGCACGATCGTAGGAAAGTATTAGCAACACTTGCACGTGGAAACCAATGTTTTCCGTTGATATAACTAGACTTCTCATACAACTCCACTATCAACTTTTAGCTCTGATGTAAATATCAGTGTTCCGCTGTAATATCTGACAATGGAGCTATATATTATGCCATGAGATGATTCAACAACAAGGGCACTTGCTCTTGGATGCGGGAAATAAACGTATCTAACACTCTAAGTACCGAACCAGAATGATGGTTCATACTACTAGGAGATAATAATCACATAGAGTAACATTCGAATGCTAAAGAAGCCCTCTCAAAGATCTATCAATAAATAGACAGTCCTTCCAACGCCATACTCTGCTGGTGCCGTGTGCTACCACAATTGCTCCCCAATCCATGAGTTCTATACACATTAAGCTGTCAATCTTCCAAGTTATGCCAAGTGCAACGGCAAGTCTGAACGAGGGATATATTCAACGTCCACCTATGTCAGGCGCAACACTAGGAAGTCTTGAAAAACCTCCACCACAAGGGACGTTCTTCATGCCTTCTTCTTTGCGGCGGCCTTAGCTTTGGCGGCCTTCTTTCGGTTGCTACGAATCATAACCAAGCTAAGGAATGTCCCAACGACGGCCGAGCCAAGGAGGGTTAAAATAACGGGAATGCGAATTGCCCAAACTCGCGGCGGGAAGAAATCGTGGAGAGGGTGACCGGGATCGACGAATGGCTAAGTAATCGTTAGACTTTTGGAAGACGATGCGTCCACGAGGACTTGCCATCAACAAGGTCCAGGCGGTATAATAGAGAAAGACGGCAGTCGCCGCGAGCAACATGGCCAGCCCGGAAAGTCGGCCAAGCTGTTTACACCCTCTCATTAGTACTGGTAGTCATGGTATATTTTCAGCGCGAGGCTTACCATGGCGTGAGATTGCAATTGAAAGGAGCTCTGTCACTTGAACTAGATGCAATGTACTCCGTAGTTTTGTAGTACAATAATACTCTGAACGAAAAAGCAAGCACCGATGATTTCTAACCCCAGAATCTCTGTCGCTCACGGTTCACCCCTATCTGGGTCGCGAACAAAGCTCCATATCACGTGACAGCCAACCTCCAAATCTTCCCATCGCAGCTCAAAGCTTCGCCATCTGGACAGGCAGAAAACGAAAGTGCAACTCATCTCTTCCCAACGGCATTCGCAAAAATGGCGGACTCTGTGATGCTGCAATCTGCAGTACGCCTGCCAACCCCACCTCCTGGGACCTCTTACGCGCCCCCAACGTTTCCCTCGAGAAAGAGGTCGCCGTCTTCGCGTTCGCCTTCACCCGACCGCCGACGCCCAGCGCCCCATGATTCTTCTCGGGACGGACCCAAAAACGAACAAGATAAGGAGACAGAGAGAGATCGCCAGCTGGCTGAGAGATTTCGTCAGTTTAAAAGGCCAGAGGGCCCTTCGAAGCCTTTGACGGAGGAAGAAAAGCAAGCTGCAGCAAAGGCGGAATATGAGAAGTTGCTGAATATGCGGTCGGGAGGGACATATATTCCTCCTGCGAAACTCCGCGCTTTGCAAGCACAAATCACCGATAAATCAAGCAAAGAGTACCAGCGGATGGCTTGGGAAGCGTTGAAGAAATCCATCAACGGATTGATTAACAAAGTCAATATTTCCAACATCAAATACATCGTCCCAGAACTCTTTGGGGAAAACTTGGTCCGTGGGAGAGGCCTCTTTTGTCGAAGCATAATGAAAGCTCAGGCAGCCAGTTTGCCATTTACACCAATCTACGCAGCCATGGCTGCGATTGTCAATACGAAATTACCACAAGTTGGGCAGTTGTTGCTGAGCCGACTGATTATCCAATTCCGCAAGGCGTTCAAAAGAAACGACAAAGCGGTCTGTATATCTTCGACAACCTTCATCGCCCACCTATGCAATCATCAGGTTGCCCATGAGATCATCGCCGCAGAGATTCTATTCCGCCTGCTTCATAAACCCACGGACGATAGCGTGGAGGTGGCAGTTGGTCTGACTAGGGAGGTTGGCCAACACCTAGAGGAAATGAATCAAGCCATTGCTCTCGCGGTATTCGACCAGTTCAGGCATATCCTCCACGAAGCCGACATTGATAAGCGCGTCCAGTATATGATTGAAGTTTTATTCCAGGTCCGAAAAGACCGTTTTAAAGATAACCCTGCCGTCAAGGAAGAACTCGACTTGGTGGAAGAAGAGGATCAGGTTACGCATTACATTAGTCTGGACGATGCCCTTGAAGTTCAGGACGGCCTTAACGTTTTCAAATTTGACCCGGAGTGGGAGGAACACGAGACGGCATATAAAAAGCTCAAGGCTGAAATCCTAGGTGAAGGAAGCGATGAGGAAGACGAAGATGGCTCTGATGAATCATCGGACGAAGACGAAGAGAATGAGGAGGAGCGCCAACTGGATATTAAGGACCAGACCAACACAGATCTAGTCAACCTTCGACGAACAATCTACCTTACTATCATGTCTAGTATCGATTTCGAAGAATGCTGCCACAAGCTGATGAAAATCAATTTACCGCCTGGTCAAGAGTCTGAGCTGCCGTCTATGATTATCGAATGTTGTTCACAGGAGCGGACGTATTCTAAGTTCTACGGCCTTATTGGCGAACGCTTTGCGAAGCTCAATCGTCTCTGGTGTGATCTTTTTGAAGCCGCATTTGCAAAGTATTACGACACGATTCATCGCTACGAAACAAATCGCTTGAGAAATATTGCTAGATTCTTTGGGCATATGCTTAGTTCGGATGCAATCGGGTGGCACGTTCTCTCCATTGTCCATCTGAATGAGGAAGAGACAACATCAAGCAGTCGTATCTTCATTAAGATTCTTTTCCAGGATCTTGCCGAAGTCCTAGGGATGCCAAAGCTCCAAGAAAGGCTAAAAGATAATATCCTTCGACCAAGCTTTGAGGGTATATTCCCGACCGATAATCCTCGCAACACTCGTTTCTCCATCAATTATTTCACAAGTATTGGAATGGGTGCGCTCACAGAGGAAATGCGCGAACTTCTCAAATCTCTTCCAAAACCGACGATACCCGCGTTGCCGGCGCCACAAGGCGATTCCGAATCCGAATCCGTGAGCTCATACTCCAGCTATTCGTCATATACTGGATCTTCTCGTTCTCGTTCCTATTCTCGCTCTCCGTCTCCTCGGCCCGCCCGCGACGAATCAAGAGGCCGCCGCAGATCTCGCACGCCCGGATCACGAAGCATAAGCCGGAGTCGAAGTCATAGCTTGTCCCATTCTCGTTCTCCTCAGAGACGTCGTGCTAGACCTACGTCGTACTCTCGATCCCCATCTCCTGTCAAGAGAAGAGGAAGGTCGATCTCTTCATCTGTGTCGCGCCGTTACACGCCTAGCAGGTCACCTCTGCCTAGCAGACCCCATCAGCGACAAATCAGCAAGCGCTCTGTGTCTCGATCTCTGACTCCACCACGTCGACGAGAGCCTGGCCCTGTTCGTGCAGGCCGTTCCACAGCCCGAGGCTACAACTCTTCGCGGTCACGATCTCCATATCGTCGGCGTAGCCCCATACGAAGATATGACTATTCAAGATCCCCATCCCCAGATAGAGGGCCTAGACGGAGAGGACGCCCATCTTCCCGATCTATCACTCCACCCCGGCATAATCAGAGTAGCAGACGTCGGGATACCAGACGGGCTACCCCTTCACCCTCGCGCTCGCCATCACCATATCGAAGACCGCGACGGCTAAGGACTGCGTCGCCGCCAAGCTCTCGGTCACTATCACGGTCAGAGACCCCTCCATCGCGACCATATCGTCTATCAAGCCGTAGTCGACGAAGGGACCGTTCTCAATCTCGGTCGGCGCTGCCTACTCGACCTTCGGGCCGTGCCCGAGCATCAGATTTCCTATGATTCATTATTAGTATCAGCCCAACATTCTCCTCGATATCATGTATTGGCATGGAGTTTATGTTATCAAGAATGCCCCTATGCCTCTATTTTCCCTTCCCTCTTCAGTGCTTGGTGAAGTTGTTTTGAAGCGACCAATGCCATTGATTTTTCTCCATTACATATATAAACCATCATCCTGTGTATGTAACTCCACAAGAAACAGTTTCTGCGTACCCTTCGTGACTGCCCCTCGAAGCTTCTATTATTGATTCGATGCGCAGCTCTATTCACTGTCAGACGGTATTCCGTCACGTGTAATATATCTCATCAAACCAACAGGGCATACTGTGTAAATATTTATCACGAAGGAGTCTAGCAGGGTTCCTGCGAAGCTGAGTACCACTATCCACTGACTTCGGGCTGCTTGTCGATGCATCCACATTGGTAAAGGATATTAGGACAAGCTACGGATGGCGATGCTCCATACATACACAGTGAGGAAAACGGTTTGTGAGATATCGAGATTGCGATGAATACTTGCATGTGCTTGATGTTCGATATCCTCGGCTTTTGAGGAGCTTCAACGTCGAGCTTTGCTTCAAGATTTGCTACGGCAATGGACTGTGAACTTTGAAGACTCGAGATTGGAAGCATGCTTGGAAGCTGCACTTGAGCAAGTCTTGCAGGGTCGATCGATGGCCAACTTCAAACTGGTCAGATTTTCATAGTTTATATTATCAAGAGAGCAAGATGGCGGCGCGTAAAGCACGCTATTAAACGAACGCCATAACTTTCAGCTCCCTCGTTAGCTAGCGTGTCCGCAGCAGATGCGCCATCACTCGACAACCACAGCGGTTCCAACCCGACTTCTCCGGTTCCTGGGGCATCCTCTGCTGTCCAACAGTTGTCCCCCGCCATCCTTCGACAAAAGGTCACTGTTGAACACTCGCTCTGACCCAATCAGTAGTCGTTCTTTGCAGGTCGTTGAGAGAACCGACTCTATCCCGCAAAATGGCTGAAGAATCCTGTGAGACACATCCACGACTAGAATGCCAATCAGAATGATGTCCATGGTGATGGGGCCTCGTCTGCAGCCACTGTCGATCCCGTCACTCAATCTTAGGGGATCGACACGGACTATTGCTGGAATGATGCGACGAAGTATCTGGTATGGCCGGAGGACTCCGTCCAGGTTTTGAAAGCTTACACAGGACCAGATATGCTCAAGACAATACGAGCCTGAACGCTACTGATTCCTCCATCTGAAGAGCCGGGATGCTTGATGCTCACACTCGTTCAAACCCCCTGCTGTCCTTGTGGCACCCACACCCCGTAAGTTAACTAAACCGAGAGCATTCGCGCCTCATTACGGAGGAAACTCCTGCATTTTGCGGGCGTGAGCACTTTCATGCGGGAGTGCTCTGGCTATGTGAGGGGTAAACCCTAAGACTATGTTCTTGTACGACTCAGGCAAAGTCCATGGATTGCGAGGAAAGGCCTGGCCGCTGATTTGGCGCCGCGGAGTTTTGCCTCTCGAATCAGCAACGAGTCTGAGTTTACTGGGCCCATGATCAGAGCCAGCATGTTAGCTATTGGGTGGCCTTCGTTACGAAGCTCCGAAGTGTGCAGAAGTGACAGCCAGCCTCAAACCATCCCAACGAGCAAGAAGTCCGCTAACGCTCGGCTTTCCTGAACGGAGATCCTCGATCTGAATCTGGACTAGGGAGATCTGTCATGTCGGACTTGGTATGTCACTATTACGAATTTGGAATCGGCCGATGAAGGGGGAGGCCACTACGCCAGCCATTAGTGATATCACAACAGCTTGGCCACAGAGTTCGTTTTAGCTGGCTCGATGCATTGTTGCGGTTGGCAGCGCTACGTTCGCGAGTCCCTCGAGGAGAAAGGAAACCCACGAACGCTCACATTGTCCCGTTCCACAAGAAAGCAACGATGTCGGAAGAACCAGCCACTTAACACGGTTCTTCCGTGCGAGGGCGTTATTTGGCAAAAAGGCAACCCAACAAAAACAAAAATGCTCAACCCCTCAGACTATAACTATCGAAAATATTCGGGTAAGGCGTGGTCCACTTGCTTGAGCTACTCTGCAGCCTGGAATTATGGGATACGCACTGCTCGCCAACCCAGTTGACATGGAACACCCAAGGTTCATTACTTTTACTCCGTAATTACGGATTCTCTGATGGAAGCAATCGGCAGGCGGGAACAAGCATGGAACAGACCCGCTTTCGAGATCTTTCTCCTTTTAATGGGCGGGCAAATACCCAGTCATTGAAATACAGAAAGCATATAACTTCAGCATCGACAAGCTGCTGCGCTAGCGTACAAATAAGTAGGAGAGCCTTTACGCGAAATTAAGCTTATCGTTGAAGATCAAGGTGGATATTTCGCTTTAGCTGGGAACTTTGCGAGCCAGGGAAATCATTCTGTGGCCAGGTACTCCAGACTTGGTGCAGAGATGAAAAGAGCCTGCCCATAATGTACTCCATACTGGCTTCTGCAATCATATCCCGACAAGAAGCCCAGTCATGGTTTGAGTTGTGCATATCTGCAGGCAGATCGGATTACAGGGGATTCGATCCGCACTCGAGCTTCAAATCTTGCCTGACATCTGACAACACCGACTTATTGCGCTGCCAAAAAGCGAGACGTCGAATTGCCTTGCCATGAAATTAGAATCGCCCGGTCCATAATCTGATGGTAGACGCACTGGTGGCTTTGCCTCCCGTTCCGCCTTTCTCCCACCCAATAGCTGGAGGGTCCCTCGACGTGTGGGATACACAAATATATTCGAGGTCATATCCCACATCCTTCCAGATGAGTCCCAATTCCTTGGAAGCAGTACCTTCTTCGGCTTACCCTCTTTTAATCGTCAAGCTTCCTGGGCTGTTCAACATAATCTCGCGGTGTCCCGCTATCGAACCCATAACGTCTCTGTTTTATGCCCTCTCCCTGCGCAACGATTTCCCTCGGAACAAATATTTTCAATCGTTAATAGAGCGGCGTTGCTTGTGATAAGGATCAAACCGAAGTCGGCGTTCTGTACTTGATTCAGAAACACCTTCGTTGGAGGTTCTGGCGGCCTAATAGCTGGGTAAGAACAACAAACACCATTCGAGGCACCCTTTTCTACGAACTTGTTTCTTGCGCTTGCATAATTGCTTGAACACATCTCGATTCGAAGGCTCAACTTCTTTCTAGGCTGATCAGTGAGAGGGGCTCTGCGGAACAGCGTCTCGCACCACATCCAATAGTCGCGATATTTGTCCATTTCCGGCTCGTAATCTCACGTCATCGATTCTAAATCCGATCTATTCGACTCCGTCAACGATTTCGCGAACTTGAATTATGCCTCCAACCCCGCAAAGCAGGAGCGCACGCCAGCGGAGTCGGTCCCAAGAGGAAGAATATGTCGTTTTCCTTCAAGGGGTAAGTCTCGCCTCGGCCTCGTTGGATTCACCACCTTACCATATATGTGTGCGAGAGTAGATCCCGCCCCAATGTCGCTGGCAAGAACTTAAGGACCTCGTGCGGCAAACGGCGCTTCACATCCGGCAAGCAGTGGTATATGATGATTGCCACGGGCACCCAACGGGTCTTGGACAAATTATCATCAAAAACGAGGATGAAGCCTGGCGAACATACAGTCAGTTTTATGTATTTCCAGAGGCCGTTTTTGTTGGTCTAACGGGCTTGTTTAGATCGGTTGTCAACGAACGGATGGAATGGCCATAGTTTGACGGTAACTCTGTCACTGGCAAATGCACCGACGCAGCCTATTGCAGGTCCAACGAAGAGTCCATCATTCGCCCGAATCCCCTTTATGCCCGCATACTCGAGTCCGCCGATCATGTCATCGCCCTCATGCACACTGAGTCACGAGTAGGCGTCGAACTTTCCATCGTACCTCCGTGGAATGAATCTGCTAACTGCTTAGCCGAAGGATCCCTTTGTCACCAGTATACCCACAGTCGCCCGAATGCCCCCCATTTACGGCTCATATCAGTCCTGGTTGCCATCCTCACCTCCTCTCCGTCCCTCAAGATACGCTAGGATACCAGATACCCTTTATCCTGCCCAGCGATAGCTCCATTGTCTTCCCACAATTCTATCATACAGCGTTCGATCCTTGCACTATGGCCACTCACAGATACCCTTCATCCGGGCCCGTGCCACATTTCCCTCAGAGCAACCGCAGCAGTATTTCAACGAGCAGCAACTATAGTGCCAGTTCGACATTTGAATCCACGGTTCCCGTGTCGCGACATCTCTTTGTGCAAAATTTGAGCCCCGGCACCACCACGCAGCAACTTAAAGAGTATCTCACGCCCGCAGGCACGGCAAGCCGATGTGATATCGTTGACCAAAGATCCTTTGGCCGGACAAAAGTTTGCGCTACTCTCAGTCTTCAAAACGAGGAAGAAGCGAAACTGGCAATATCAATGTTTGATAATTCAACCTTTATGGGATCCAGGATAAGGGTGCGATTCAACAGAGAACGGAGCGGTTCCGGCAGCAGCCAGCCAAAGCAGGCTCCGTTAGATGCTAGTAAAGTAGGCGAAGGACTCAAGGCCACAGCAGCAGACACAGCCTCGAGCCACGACAAACCGGAAACGGCTGATGAGTGTTTGGGGGGTTCAAGGGGAGAAGAGACTGGTCCCGGCAAGAAGCGTGGAGAGCCGTTGGTGGTCAATGGATCGTGTGTAGGGATGAAAGCAGGTCGGGGCAACGAAGAAAAGCGAGATTACGAAGGTTAGTCTCTTTTGATGTTGACGGGCTTTTTATCTCTTTTGTCAGGGAGCTGGTCCTAATTGCTATTGCGGCCGCAGGTGAACTCTCCAAGCGTGCGCAGGAAATCCATTTGTAACTTGCTTTTCATTTTGATTGCGAATTTGGGAGGATCCGGGGCGGGATAATGGGACAAGGTGTACGGGGGGAGGAAAAGGGTTTCTCTTTTCTGTGTTGACTAGGATTATTGATACCATTTTATTTTCAACTGACTAACTAATGCCATAATCATTGTGTTCTTACGATCATGCGAGCATGTTTTCTGTCTGGGCTGCAATTGGAAAGGGGTGTTTCTTTCAAGATGTAGTCTCTCTTTGTCAAAGACGGGAAGCAGATCATCCGCCTCCTACGGCCTTGAAAAAAACAGAAATTGAAGCTTTTGTTCCCTTTTTTCCCCCTTCCGATATGAAGTCGAACTAGCCCATCTGTCATCCCTGCGCAAATCCATCAACCCCCAAAAATCCAGCACCCTATCACGCGAGGGCAGAATCAAATACAATTGCCCGGTCTTGAAATCTGCCCAACTAACTACTGTTTTCCATCCCCGGATCGACAATCCTGGTATTCCCCGAACGGATCTCGACGAGGAGGTGTGCAGGGCTAACCTGCAGGGCGAGTCATAAGTAGTAGCGAACAAGGATCCTTGAAAGATTCCTGAATCTCCCCCCGGCCAAAGCAAATCGACGAGGTTAGAAACAAAAGATCCCTGGCACTGGCCGAGAGGAAAGAAAGGATTTCGATTTGAGCCGGTCTAAAAAGCTCGCGGCCGGCACGGAAGGTCGTTAGTTAACTTAAGTAGCCCTGGCAGGTTGTTGGGTGCTTGGATCTCTCTTCTTGAGTTGAAAAAGGACGGCCCCAATGCAAGGGGCGGGAAAGCGGGAAGGGCCTTGGTTTCCGCTGCACCCTTGCTGGCGAGATTGCTTGCTTGCGGCGATCAACCATGGATTTGTGTGTTGTGCATTGAGTTTTTTTATGGGAGGTGGACTCTTTATTGAATAGGTCGGGTGAGAGCAAAGATGTCAAAGAATGAAGCGGCAAGGAAGGAAACGAGATAATAGCTTAGACAAAGGTAGAGTGTTTGGCACCAAAGAGCTGGCCTTGTCTACGGAGTACTCCATATAGTACATAAAAAATTTGATGCCTTTGCGGATAGCCTGATAAGAGTTTCTTTCGTGTTTAAGCCTTGATTCCTCACTCTTACGGAGTACTATGGTATTACCTTTCCGTTCCCTTATCCTCCGTCCAAGGCAAGCATTCAGCAAAGGGAAAAAAAAAGTCTGCCTTATTCCCTCGCCTCGCCCCGTCCGCAGGGTCCAGGCCCCCTGACGGCTGAAGGGAAAAATGGGTGGCGAACAGGCCCTCCATCGGCGTCGTGGTCACGCATGAAACAGAAAAAAAAAAAAGGCTGCAGCTCGGAAGGAGGAACATTTCTTGATGACTACTCCGTATTCGATATTTGATTATTAGTTTTTATTGTTGATGTTTCAATGCGATTCCTTGGGTTGAG